TGAGCCACCGCTCCCGGCCAGGACACATTCTTTATTTGCTCAGTGTTTGGGACACTATGACAGCAAAGCTGTCTTGGCAAACCTAAAATTTTATGGAAAGTGGCTTTGGAATTAATGACATCACTGTTAGTCATTCCGTATCTTTGAATGCTGAGTACCTGGAGCAGTGGTTGCTTCTCCTCCTCACAACCTCTGAAAGTTTTTGCTCTTCATACCAAGGCATAATGGTGGCAGGAGGAGGAGCAGAGACTATGAAATAGTAGGAACAGAGACTGTGAAATAAATATTCAGAAATCTGGCATTTAGGCCAGACTAGCTTCTTCCCCTGAGATTATAGTGATATCTGGGAGAACGCTTGGTTGTTTAAAGTATTTCTTAAAACCCCAAGTTTGCTCAGGTGTCAAAGACTCATTCCTTTAGGACACGGTCATGAGAAAGTCTATTTCAGCCACACAGGATAAATAGCAGACGATTGAAGCACACAGAAGACAGGTAGAGCTTCCAAGAGGGAGGAATTTTCTTCTCTTGGCACAAACGTTTTCAGAAACAAGACCAGAGCGTTCTTGTCAGTCAGCCAACGCCGCACCTCATCCTCAGCCTTGTGGGAGTCGTGGGTGCCTGTGTGCGTGGTTACTAACAGGATTTGCATCCCGGGGATTTTGTTTTGTTGCAGCCTTAAGAGCCACGATCTTCCAGTTTGATCTTAACTCTGCTTTCCTCTGGCTCCTCAAACTTTTGCTTAGTAGAAGCTGCATCTTCAGAACTGGCACCATAGCTGTTTGTAAGAGCTGAGAACACAGGGGAAGTTTGCAGTTCACACCCTGACAAGTTACAGCCACGTTTACTTGCTCTTATTTCTGGAATAGTGAGTACACGGTGTGCTCTACCTTCAGGAATGTTCCCGTTAGGAACCTGTAAGCCCGAACTGAAGAGAAACTTGCTGTCATCACCCAGCAGGGCCCCCAGGACTACTGTCTTCCGTTCATTAGGAATCCACCAGATGCCTAGTATCTTAGGGCAGGAGGCTGGTAAGGTCAGAGCTCGCTGCCCTCTGCCTTTTTCTCATTTCACAGATAAGGAAACTGAGGCTCAGGTAGTCTTACGGACTTGCTGAAGCCTTTTCCAGGAACACACCAGTAGGGGCTCCCTTTGCCTCTCCCCCAACGTGATCACAGGCTCACTGCATTGCATTCCACTTAGGTCAAGCACCTCTTTCTGCCTCTCACCTTTTCCCTGGGGGAGAAGTAGAGCCCAAACATGCCAAACCTTTACTTTTCACCTAAACTTGATCAGGCCACTGATTTAGAAATTGAAGTGAGGCAGGGAGAAAGGGGGAGCTGGAGGAAGGGCAGCTAGAAAGTTGCTAGAGGTTTTACTAAAACCCACCATCCTGGATACAGCTCATCTTATCTGATCTCGGATGCTGAACAGCTGGCCTTGCATCTGGTTTATGGACTAGGCTGGTCGCTATTGAGGAAGCCACAAATCAGGCAGAAAGAACCCTCCCTCAGTAATAGTCTGTTCAGGAAACAGAGATGGGATAAAGTAGCAAGGAATTAAAGAGTTACCCCCAGGCAGAGGGGGCTGCACTTTGAACCTCTGCTGGCCAAGCACAGACAACTTCTGTTCCAAAGCATCATCCGATGAAATAACGTGGCCTCTCCCAATCATACGGGTAACTTGTAGGCCTAAGAATCCCCTAGAAGGAAGGAGGGCTGGGAAGCAAAGTAGAGGACAGTGTGCCCCCTCCAACAGCCACAGTCCTTACAACACCCACCGCCCCCCAACTTGGTTTTAACCTCAGCCTTTCCATTCCTGCCAATCAAAGGTATCACACAAATTGGGCTAGTAACTACAGCAATGATTTTCCAGCTCATGATGGCCATTACCTGGACCGCTGCATCTCTGTCTCTGAGGGCAATGGAGAAATGGAAGGGGCTGAGCTCAGCAGAGAATAATTAGGGCCTACAGAGGTAAGCCAGGTGTCTGTAAGTGTGGGGTGCTCCTGACCTGAGGGTTTAAGGTGGCTGAATTTCACCTTCTGTGTTGATCCTCCAGAAGTACAATTCTGTAGGGTTTATTTTTAATTAAAATATTCACTTTTCTTTCTTATTGCAAAGACATTAAGACAAAAAATGAAAATTAATATAAACAAAGGACAAACCACCCATAATTTCTGTCACACAGAGTGAGCCACGTTTAATCGTTTGTTGTATGTAATCTTTCCTTTTGAAAAAAAAAAACCAAAACGGAATACTAATATATATTGTTGTATGATGCACTTCATCAGTTAGCAGTACACTGTGGTTATCTTTCTAAGAGAATATGTATATAAAATATTATTTTTAGTGATTGCATGCCACTCAGTCGTGTGAATTCACTACGTGTTATTCATCCTGGTCCGTCTGTTGGACATTGAAGCGTGTCTAAATTTTGACTGTTAGAAATCACACTCGTTAAATCTGATCATATGATTTTATTTATTTGTAATAAATCCCTCAAATTAGAATTTTGAGTCCAATATGCACACATTCTTAAGGTTTGGTGCATACTGAAGAACTGCTGTTAATGAACATTCCTACTGGCCAGTGTATGTCTGTTTCTCAAACTCACAACAACACTGAACACCATTGGTATTTTCTTCTGGTTTTGACCATGCTCACTTGTAAGCATTTAAGAATACAAAATCCTAGGCCGGGCACGGTGGTTCATGCCTGTAATCCCAGCACTTTGGGAGGCCGAGGCGGGCGGATCACGAGGTCAGGAGATCGAGACCAACCTGGCTAACACAGTGAAACCCCGTCTCTACTAAAAATACAAAAAAATTAGCCGGGCTTGGTGGCGGGCACCTGTAGTCCCAGCTACTCAGGAGGCTGAGGCAGGAGAATGGCGTGAACCCGGGAGACAGAGCTTGCAGTGAACCGAGATCACGCCACTGCACTCCAGCCTAGGGGACAGAGAGAGACTCCGTCTCAAAAAAAAAAAAAAAAAGAATACAAAATCCTTATACTTATTATGATTGACATTAATTTGCATGCCTAGAGGCCTAACACTGTGCTGATGTTAGGATCCAAAAAGGACACACACAGTCACCTGGCTCAAAGATTCTCAGGACAAAGGCAATCTGTAAACACAAAGAATCAGAAATTACCCAGTGTGGGAATACAAATCAAAGAAAGGATACATATGGAAGGGCGGAGGGAACACAAAGTGCATAGATAACATATTATTCCCAGTGCCCTAGTTTTGAGATCATGACGTGTGCAATGACACATTTATTAACAGAATTCCCTTATTGATTCCTAATAAATGTGAGGTACCATTCTAAGTAATTATGCAATCTCACAGTATCTTTATAACATCCCTCCAGGAGGGGTGTTACTCTGCTCATTTTGATATTCAGGAGACTGAGGCACAGATTTAACTGACTTGTCCAGGGTCATGTACACTGGTAAGCGTCTGAGCCAAAAAACATTCATGGGATTTTGCTTATGGTTCCAGTGAGCTTTTGGACTCAGATGATTTCGCAAATTGACCCCAAGCTGTCCTAGCAGAGGAGAGAGAGAAACTGCAGGTCAGGGAAGAAGCAGTTATGATGCATTTGGTTTGGAGAGAAGCAACCCCTCAATCCGTGGGTTTAGAAGTGACCCTCTGAGACAGGCCAAAGCTAAGGCTCCTTAATTCCATCCTGGGGGCTTGCTACTCAAGGAAGATAAGTAGAGAATAGCTATTGGCTATTCTTTCCCTCTTCTCACTTCAGACTGCCAGGGGTTCTCATACTTCAGTCTACTTAGGGATATATGAGAACCTGTTGAACATGGATTCCCAGAGCAACCTCAAAACATTCTGGTTCAGAGGGTCTGGAGAGAAGCCCTGGAATCTGCATTTCTAACCATCAGGAGAGACTGATGTAGGTGGTCCTTAGATCAAGCCTTGAGACTCATAGCAAGTTGACTGTGCTCACATAATCCTAAGATGAATGTGAGATGCCAGCTCCTTCCCTGCCAGAGTAATCAGAAAGCAAGCCCACAGTAGGTGGGAATTCAACCCTTTATACTCATGTGGATTTTCCTGGCTAATAGCTGGGCCATCTTACTTGGGAGTAGCAATGGCTTCCCAAGGGTCCTGTCATCCCTGTGATATTTCAGACAATTAAGAGCTGCCCCCAGCTCCTTGCCCTGACCTGTGTAGAGGGAGGGTTAGTATTTCATGCATCAATAACCAATCAGTAGCACCCTAAAAGCCTGGGTGAGGGATACAGACTGTGCCAACTTGTCAGGAAACCTTATAGCCATAAGCTTACTTATTTCCTAAAAATGTCCTAGAAGATGGAATCAGCAAGTGATAATTATCATCACTATTACTGGGATCATCGTCGTCATCAACACCATTGTCAAATCTACCATTGATGGACTGGCTCTCTTTGCCCAGATATTTTGCCAAGGGCTAGTCTTGTATGATCTCTTTTAGTCTTTACCATATCACTTAGGGGAAGACCTCATTACAGTTTTATCCCTGTTTTACAGAGCAGGAGAAGAAGGCATAGAAAGGGGAAGTAATATGTCCTACGTCACTCAACTAATGTGTGGTGGAGTCAGAATTCCAGCCCGGGCCATCTGACTCCATTTGAGTAGTTTCCATGGTTCTTATTTTACTGGTGGAGAGGGACAGAGGGATCATGTGACTTGCCCAGGAACATGAAGTTTGTCAGGCATATCACTGGATCAATCACCAGGATCCTACTGACTAGCTGCTTCAGCCTCCTTCTGCAAGGTTGCTGCTTCTAGATGGTATTAAGACAGACTCTGAAAAGGGAGAGTTTTGGTTAACTAATGGCACTCAATAGAAAGCAAGCTGTGATCCTCAGGGAACTCTACACTGTCATATAAGTTCCTGGCAGGAGTAATCAGGAGGCCGAGCCTCTCACAGCTCTGCAGTGATACAGGCCTCAAAACAGGTCTTGAGGCCCCAGTTGAGTCTGAGCTCTGTTCAGGGATTGAATGCCAGGGTACCACCCAACACCAGTTCTGATGCTCTTTGCCAGTGTGCTGGTGACTTGCCTTGAGGCTGCTAAACTCACTGTAGGCTTCCAGGCCCCCTGGAACATCTCCCATCCATTCAGCATGCAAAGGTTGGGTGCAGGCCTCCAGATTGCCTTGGACAAGGTCAACTCAGAGCTAGTGGACCTTGGAAATTTCAGCTGGGAGTTCACTTACACCAACTCAGCCTGCAGCACCAAGGAGTCTCTTGCTATTTTCAACAACCAGGTCCAGAAAGAACAGATTTCTGCCCTGTTTGGACCAGCATGCCCAGAAGCAACTGAGGTAGAATATATATAGCCTCTGGAAACTTTGAGTTTCCATTGGAAGGGGTGGCCTTCAAGATGATGGTACAGATTTGAATAATCTCCTGGCAAGGGTCACATTATTATAATAATAACCGTGTAGATCTTGAATACCATTTTTGAGATGCAATTAGACTATATAATTAGAAGAGTTAACATTCTCTTTAGAAAGTCTTTTTCTCTCTTTCTTTCTTTCTCTTCTTTCTTTCTTTTCTTCTTTCTTTCCGTCCTTTTTTTTGAGATGGAGTATTGCTCTGTTGTCCAGGCTGCAATGCAGTGGCATGATCTCGGCTGACTGCAGCCTCTGCCTCCCAAGTTTAAGTGATTCTCCCACCTCAGTCTCCCTAGTAGCTGGGATTACAGGAGTGCCCCACCATAATCAGCTAATTTTTGTATTTTTAATAGAGATAGGGTTTCAGCATGTTGGCCAGGCTGGCCTCAAACTCCTAACTCAGGTGATCCACCAATCTCGGTCTCCTAAAGTGCTGGGATTACAGGCGTGAGCCACCATATCTGGCCAGAAAGCCTTTCAGATCAATAATTGTTCATTCACCTACCCTCTTCCTCCTCTTGTTGATTGTCTGAACTTGATGCTGTTGCATATAGACTCTTATTGTTTACTCTCATGTTCCTAAGCTACAAGGCTTAGGAAATTAAGAAGAAACAAATGCGTGGTTTTAAATAGAAAACTATCAATGGTTTGAGTAGGCTTTTCTTTGGTGCGTATAATAAATTAATCAGTGAAAATGCAAGTAAATGAGAAAGAATCAAGTATGGCAAACTACCTTACCTACAGTAAGAAAATGAGGGAAATGAATGACCTGTATTTGTTTGGTTGTTGGGATGAGTTTTGTTGGTGTCCTTGGGTGTCATGTCACCTGAAAAGTGTTGATGCAAAAAGTGAACAGGAAGGAGCAGCACAGGTCTTACTCTCAACAATATTGTAGAACTATCACTAGTTGGAGCTGCAGAACTAAGTTTACATTTAAATTTGAGCCAGTCTTTCCTGGAATTCCCCATCTGACACATTTCTATCTGTTCAAAGGCTACCTAAGAGTTAATATCAAATGTCATGGAGCCTTTCTTTATCCCTTCATCTCTGCCCTCCATATCCCTAATTCCCCAATCAAAAGTAATTGTTTACTTCTCTAAATGCCTATAAATCTATTATCTATACAACTTATAGAATGTATTTCACTTTAAAGCTATTTTTTATATACCTTGGTTCTTGTAATAAATCATGAGCTCCTTTAAGAGCAAGGTCTCCAAAGTTTTTTGTATGTGATAGGCCCCTAATTAAAATGAATGAAAAATGAATAAGGGAGAAATTAAGAAAGAAAGAGAGGATGAGTAACTATGAGTGTGGGCCTTGGAACCATATTACCTGAATTCCAACCCTGCTCCACTATTTGCTAGCTATGTAACTTACATCTCTGTATCTTCCTGTTTTATCTTAAAAAGGGGGTAATAATAACACCTAGAAATGTTGTGAAAGTTGAAATGATATATGTAAGCTGTTAGAGTGCTCAGCACATAGTAAGTGCTCAATTAATGCTCGCTTTTGTTATCTTTGTTCTCTGAGACTGATGTTGTCATCAACATTACAAAAGCGAGGGCCCGGTATGACCCATAGACTCACAGAATCTGAGGTTTATGCAGATGTCTTACACTGGGGTTTGCGTGTACATAAACTCAATTATGCAAAGACATCCTTTGTGTTATTTTCAAGGTTATCGGTTTGCTGGCCTCTGAGTGGAACATCTCCATGTTTGACTTTGTTGGACAAACCAAAAAGCTGTGTGACACCTGTGTGAAACTTGTGCCACCCAAGCAGGACATTGGTGATGTGCTCCAGAAAAGTCTCCAGTACCTGGGCTGGAAACACATTGGGATGTTCGGAGGCTACTCTGGGGCTTCCTCCTGGGATGGAGTGGATGAATTGTGGAGAGTTGTACAGAACGAACTCAATTCCCATTTTATCATCACTGCCAGCATGAGATACACCAAAAATAGTTTAGTCCTTCTTCAAGAGCATCTTTGGAGGATATCATCAATTGCCAGGGGTAAGTAGAAAAGTCTTCTGTTGCTTTTATTTGGAGAGAAAAATGGGACAAGCAGGTTATTTGGAAAAAAAAAAAACAAAAAAAACAAAAAAAACTTCATTTTTCTCTGAGTGTAAAAGCAGATGGAAACAAGGTACAAAATTAATAATATATAAAAGCAATTTCCTTTATTGCTTGACATCACTAACAAAAAATTGTGGGTTGCTTTTTTTTTTTTTTTTTTTTTTTCTTTTTTTTTTTTTTTTTTTTTTTTGGTCTAAAGTAAAACCCCACATGCTACAGTGTTATGAAACACAGAGTAAGTTCTAGAAGCATCTTCCAGGTGGGCTGGGTCCTGGAGTTCACTATTTGTTTACAGTAGGGGCTCTGCAGACTGACAGACCTAGGTTTGAATCCAGTCTCTGACACTTTTAAACTGTGTCCTCCTTGGGTAAGTACCTTAATCTCTCTGTGTCTCAAGTATCTTATCTATAAAATGGAGACAATCATCCTACCTATGTCATAGAAAGGGGAGGATTAAATAAGGTTACACCTCTAAAGTGCTCAGCACCATGTCTGGACAAGTAGTTGGTCAACATACGACAGCAATTATTTTTGTGGTGATACCTATAAGGCTCAACTTTCTAGCATGAATTAGTAACTGACTCCTTTCTGTTCCTCAAATAAACTAAACTCTCTCCAGCCTTGAGACTTCAGGGTTTTTTACTCCCTTGGCCTAGGATGTCACCTGCACCCACTCCACCCAGTGATGCTAATGTGGGATTCTCAGATACAAGTGGCTCTCACTTCTTTTTCTTCCACAGCCACCTCCCTGTGTCCCTGTTGAAGCTCTAATAAAGGGCTTGAAAGACCAACATACTGATCCAATGAGGCAATTCTTATGTGGTCTGAGTCACATTCCAGCCTACCCAGCACCTTCTTGAGGGTAGCTTCCTCTCATCCTTGCATCATTGCTGACTGGGTCCAGAGTCCACCTCCTCAGGGAGGCCTTCTCTAATGACACGATGTGAAGTTGCTTCCCCTCCCCACCCATTAGCATCACAGCATCCATTTCCAACCTCACTAATTAGAATCTTCAATGATCTCTTTAATCTGTTCACTTGTATGCTGTCTGTCTGATGGCTCGTTCACTGCTATGTCTGTGCCCAGCACAGTGCCTGACACAACATTGGAGCTCAGATAAATCGACTATAATTTACTTCATTTAAAAAATAAACTAGCTGGGTGTGGTGGCTCACGCCTGTAATCCCAGCACTTTGGGAGGCTGAGGCAGGCAGATCACTCGAGGCCAGGAGTTGGAGACCAGCCTGGCCAACATGGTGAAATGCTGTCTCTACTAAAAATACAAAAATTAGCCAGGTGTGGTGGTGCACGCCTGTAATCCCAGCTATCCTGGAGGCTGAGACATGAGAATTGCTTGAACCCAGGAGGCAGAGGTTGCAGTGAGCCAAGATCATGCCACTGTACTCCATCTAGCCTGGCCAGTAGAGCGAGACTCTGTCTCAAAAATAAATAAATAAATAAATAAAACCCACTACTTCATTTGTATATTCTGAAAATGAACAGTGATGTGATTAAATGGCAGAAAAGTACCACGGCCTACTCCTCCCTCCGGCCAGCCCAGCTCAGAAAATCCAAATGCCCTTGATTCTAGGTCCTTTGTGAACTCCTCTTAATTGAGGTGTGGCTGACAAGTCACAAGCCAGGTCTGCTGTTCTGATTTTTGAGCCAAAAAGAAGAAAAAACCTAGAGCACAGAAGTGATCTCAAACTTTTTTGACTTGTACATTGTGAGGAGGCTGCAGTAAAGACTTCAGTGCTATAGCTGCTAGTTTGTACACTGCAGGCTTGGTTAAAGAAGTAAAACCTCAGGGACTAGTTTAGGCATTCCTGTTTCCTACAACATGCCCAAGGAAAGAAAAAGTTCATGTCTCTTTTACAGTGACTTTAGGCTAGAATTAGAGACAGTGAGAGCATGCGTGAGAGCGCACACATACACGAGCATGTGCAACTGGCTGACTCTGATTTTCATTCTTATAGTTATCATCTTAATCTGCAGCTCAGAGGATACAAATATTATTCTGCTGGCTGCAGACAACCTGGGACTCAACACTGGAGAATTCATTTTCACCATTTTGCAGCAGTTGGAGGTGGGTCCCGTCGACCACTCAGTGGCTCCGGTAGTAAGAGGTAGCAAGTATAGAGTACTCGCTATGACCCGGATGTATCAGCTCACTGAGTACTCACTACAACCCTATGAGGTAGGCACTCTTGCGTCCTCATCTTAACATTAGGAGACTAAGACGGAGCTGGAAGAACTTACCCAGAGTTCTTCTGCACCACTAGTGAAAGGCTGAACCAGGCCTTGAACTAGGTCGGCTGGCTTAAGGGCCTGGTCCTCTGTACGCCGTATCAGACAACAGCGGTTGAGGAAGAACTGTCATTTCTACCGGGTAGCTAAGACCTTCCCAAGGGACTCTCAGACACAAGTGGCTCTCACTTCTTTTTCTTCCACAGCTACCTCCCTGTGTCCCTGCTGAAGCTCTAACTAAGGGCTGGAAAGACCAACATACTGATGCAATGAGGCAATTCTTAGATGGTCTGATTCTTTTGGTAATGATGAGAATGGCTAAAAATACAATTGCTTACTATGAGGACTGAGTTACACGGTTTACACACATGATTGCACTTAATATTCTCAATGGTTTTGCAAGGCAGTTATTAAATGCATTATTTATGTACCTGTACCTTTTGTACTTGGTATTTCCAACAGCCTTGGAAAGTAGATATGATGAGCATTCCAATGTACAGGTAGAAAAACCAAGGCTTAAATAATTAAGGTACCTTACCTAAGATCTCAGAGCTCCCAAGTGGCATAGCTAGTATTCCAGACTGAGCCTTTCAGACTCTGAGCTCACCCTACACAACTCTGCCTTCTGGAGGGTTTATGGAGTGCTGGGCCTCACTGTGAGTGTTTAATACATTAAAGCTTATTTCAGCTCACAACCACCCTATGGGGTAGATACTTTTATCATCCTCATTTTACAGGAGAGGAAACTGAGGTTCAGAGAGGTGCCAAAACTTGCCCAAGGCCATCCAACTAGTATGAGGGAGAGCTGGCATTCAAACCCAGGTGGTCTGGGCTCCTTTTCCACCTCTCACCAAGTGCACTGATGCATGGAAATAATGCAAGTAGTATCTGCCTCACAGGGCTATTGCGTCTGTGCTTGTAAGCATCTTATACAACAGGCATCTACAAAAGCCACTTGCCTTTTCCTATGGACACACTGCATTATTTTTCTAGCAGTTTTATTTTTCTAAAACAAGCTTTTTAAAACTATGATCACAAGAAGCTGAAATAGGACAGAAGAAAATAAAGGGAGATATATAGTAACGTCCCAGATTTTTCCTTCTTTATCATGAAGTCTTTCAGATGCACAAAAACATCTCAGATTTCTTTGGGTGGTGAGCTGGAATTCTAAAGGCATGCCGGACTTTCCAGAATACTCGCTTGCCTTAGATTTCCATTGTGACCACCTCCCTTTCTCTTTACTTTTCCCCTCATCTCTGCCTTCAGGCAGATGAGGAGAGGAGAGGATGGACCACATTCAGTATTGGCAGGGAAACTTTTCAACTCCCCTGCTGCCTTCTCCCACACCTTGATGATCCAGTTCCAACTGGTGTGTAGTGGCAGAAAATAGAACTAAGAATACACCAATGTCCATGCAATTGAATTCATGCCGCTTCATGAAAGAATAGCCTAAATCTATTTTATAAAAGTATTCCCAGTATAGGTTTAGGTGGAAAAAAATCAAGCTGCAGAATATTATGGTATGATATCTTCATATATATGTGTATGTGTGTGTGTGAGATGTCAAAATATATATGTATATATACACACACATATATATAATGAGTGGGTATATACTATTCATAATAGTAATAATATAGATTATAATGATGATAACAAAACACCTATGTCACAAGTAAAAAAAAAAAAAAAGCAAGAATCTATAGTCTCGAGCTTTTTAAGCTTTTATAATCATTGTTAGTAGGTAAGCTTTCTGCATCTTAGCTGCTGTATGCACCAAGTACATTTTCACTTTTTTATTTGTGGCTTTCCTTCCACTGCTTATATGCCAGCTAGAGAACATGGACCTTGTATTGCAGGCCTTCTGGAATCACTGTGTTTCCAAGGATTAGAATGTAGTGGTTCAAATTAAACATTGCGTTACACGCAGTTCCCTTGCCAAGGCATTTCCTACCAAACACCAACATTTATTTCATTACTTTTTAGGACCATTTTTGGAAGGAAGTACTGACAAATCAGAAAATGACGTACCTCCCAAAGATGTATGGGTCAGTGCTTCTCTCACTGCCCTCAGCTCCTACGGAGAAGGCCGTGGAGACGAAGGCTTTTGGAAACAAGTCTACCAAACGCTGAGGAGGCCGCCTTTCCGCAGCACCATCTCCTCGGAGGAGCAGGTCTGATGCCGGGTCTTCCAGCTCAGGCTCCCTCCTCCCCTTCTTTGATGATATTTGTGTTTGGCTTTTGCATTTCTCCCTCTTATTTCTCCTCATCTCTCCCCACCTCCCTTACACACATGCAGGTGCACACACACATGCACTTCCCCATCTTCCACGCCCAAAATAAACAGCAGTTTGATGCTCTCCTGTGAATTTATACTTCAGAGGTTACTGGGTGAAAGGCCTTTGGAGCAGAGGCCTATGCCCCCATCCTACTGCTGCTATTTGCTAACTGTTGGACCTTGTAGCGAATTGCTTAACCTCCCTACACCTTGGTCTCTTCATCTGTGAAACGGGACTGATGATGGCATCTACCTCCCAGGCTGTGGTGTTGTGTATTTAGTAACATTGTCCATGGAACTAGCAAAGCAGGTATCTTCCTTTTTTGAGGGAAGGTCTTGCTGTGTCACCCAGGCTAGAGTGCAGTGGTGCAATCATGCTCACTACATCCTCGACTTCCTGGGCTCCAGCAATCCTCCCACTTCAGCCTCTCAAGTAGCTGGAAATACAGACACATCCCATCACGCCTTGATAATTAAAAAAAAATTTTTTTTTGTACAGATGTGATTTCTCTATGTTGCCGAGGCAGTTCTTGAACTCCTGGACTCAAGCAATCCTTCCACCCTGGCCTCCCAAAGTGCTAGAATTACAGGCATGAGCCACTACAGGCGTGGCTATTAATGGCTACTCAGACCATGACAATTTCCTTCCCCAGGAGGATGCCAGGACCTAGACCTGGGATGGAGTGGTCAGAGATGTGGAGCTAGGACAGGTCAGGGCCAGCAGATGGGCTGGAACAGGGAGAAGATGGTCAGGAGGGAGAGGGTCCGCCTGTGGTAATCCTAGTATGTGTGTGATGAGAAGGCACAGTGTCTGGCTCCCACAGAGAATTTTTTGAAGACAGACCTTTGTACAGAGCTAGAGCTACTTCCAGTATGGGCCCAAGCTGAAGCCCTAAGGTGACCACAGGCCACTGATGACAAGGAGTTTGATTCGAAATGAGGGGTCCGATCGTGGATCCCAACATATAAGACAAGATAACCAATTAAAGAATATTTGAGGAACAATCTACTAAGTGTCAGCGTTGTACCTGGTACTGTTGGGAGAACAGTGTCTGGCACTTAGTAGGCACTTGTATTATATTTTCCTTGACTGATCAATAGAAGACATCATGTCCTGAAGACCTACTAAGGGTCAGGGACTGCAATGGATAGTTTACCTATTATGCCTCATTTAACTATTGTCACATTCAACCCAACAGCGGTTTTACCCTTTTTTTTTTTTGAGATAAAGTCTCGCTCTGTCACCTAGGCTGGAGTGCAGTGGTGCAATCTTGGCTCACAGCAACCTCCACCTCCCGGGTTCAAGTGATTCTCCTGCCTCAGCCTCCTGAGTAGCTGGGATTACAGGCACCCGCCACCACGCCCGGCTAATTTTTGTATTTTTAGTAAAGATGGGGTTTCACTATGTCAGGAGTTTCGCTGGTCTCAAACTCCTGACCTCGTGATCCGTCCGCTTTGGCCTCCCAAAGTGCTGGGATTACAGGCGTGAGCCACCGCACCTGGCCTATCCCCATTTTATAAAGCAGTGAGCTGAGATTCAGAGAGGTTATGGAACTTACCCATAGCCAGTAGGGAGTTGAGCTGGTCTAGTTCCAACATGTACCCTCTTCCCCTGAAACCATGCTCCCTCCCACCTGAGGCCTGAAGAGCGTCCCTGAAGGATCAGGAGATCTGATTGGGAAACGCAGCATTCAGAAGGAAAATGAAGACGACCGCGACGTCTGGGTTTCACAGCGCAGGCGCAGGCGCAGGCGCAGGCGTAGGCGTGTGCTGGGCCCTCTGCTGTGTGGAATGGGGGAAGATAGTGCTGTGTGCCACTGTCAGGCGGACGAACAGAGATTCCTCCTAACAGCGCTGGACGGTGACTCAAGAGGCCATGAACCTCTTGAGACCCTGCTTTGCTTGTCTTATTGAAGGTGAGCCTTTACTCTGCCTATCTTCACGACGCCGTCCTGCTCTATGCTGAGGCCGTGAAGCAGATGGTAAAGGCTGGAGGCGACTTCCAGGACGGGCGGCAGCTGGTCAGCGCTGTGAAGGGTTCCAGTCCGGCCAGGTTGCAGGGTAGCTGGCTTACTGCTGGGGGGTGTTCTGAACTCAGACCTGCGGCTCCGGTCGGTGGGGGCTTTGAGATCTTGGGCATGTAATTAAAGGCGTCTTTCAGGGCCTGCCTCGCACTGAACTCCAGAATTCATCTTTCTTGTGGGGATTCCAGTCTTCCTTCTGTAAGGGTAGTTGAGATTAAGACCTCCCAGTTCCCCCAGTTCACTCATCCTTCCGGCCGGAGCCTGCCCAGACCAGGAGAGGAGGCCGCTGGGCACCTTATCCCCTTTTGGGAATTCTCCCCCTCAGTTCCATTGAAACTGAGTCCATCAAGAATAAAATTCAGAAATGTGAGAGCCGTCTCCCGAGGTCACTTCCCATCTGCAGCCTCTGTGATGGAGGCCTTGGCGCCACAGACTTCTAAAGATGGGTTGTAGTCTCATTCTTGCTTTCCTGGTGGGGATGAGTTCACTCCCTGCTGGGGAGTGAACTGCTTTCAAATCACACTCAGCTGACCAACTGCTTTGATCTTTCTTGTTCTAGTTTTGTCACCTGTAAGATAGGGATAACACCTGCTACCACATACAGAAACAATAATAACTGACATTTAGGGAGGGCTTACCTTACACTAGCCCAAGTGCTAAGAGCTTCTGAGTATTACCTAATTGAATCCTCACACAGCCCATGAGGCAGGTACTGTTTCTATCTGTATTATTCAGGTGAGTAAACCGAGGTTACAGAGGTTATGTACTTTGTCTAAGGTCACAAAGTTATTAGATGGTGGAGCCAGGATTCAAAAATCAAGCCTGCCTTCTCCAGGGCTCATGTTCTTTGCTATCCTGTAACATAGGCATAATGAGAATATGACATGCACCTGGCACAGAGTAGGTGCTCATTAAATAGTAGTTTCTGTTTTTTTCTTTTTGAGACGGGGTCTTGCTCTGTCACCCAGGTTGGTCTTAAACTCCTGGGCTTACGGGATCCTCCCACCTCAGCGTCTCAAAGTGCTGGGATCATAGGCGTGAGCCGCTGTGCCCGGCCAAATGGTCCCTATTTTTATACTTTCTATTTTATATTTTTCTATTTCATAGAAGCAGGTCTCGTTTACCCTATTGATACCTTTTGCAAGTGGAAATATTCACCAACTTCTCTCTCTTCTTTCCTTTCAGACCCTAAAGCATTTGCTTAAAAAAGGGAGAGGTCACAAGCGGGGTGGGGGGGGGTGTCCTTCTTTCTGCTCTCAATTTAATCCTCTCTGCCAGATCAATTAATTCCTCTTTCCTGTGGTTTTAGGAATTCTTCATGCTGGGATGAGGGGAGGGTGTGAAGAGCAGTGAGGCCCTTTGAGAGCCTGAGTCATCCCACTTTGGTTCTGGGGGCCCGTGGACCCCTTTTAGGGACTCATGACCAAAGGGCCCTCCTCACCCCTCCAAACTGGCTTCTGTTCCTTTATGGGCTACAGGACTAGCCTTGGCAGAACTGGAGTATTTGTCTCTGTTTCCTCTGTTCATTTCTGCCGCATGGTAGCATCCATTCCATGGGCCAGTGCCGCGGGGCTTTTGGACCGTTCCAGAAGGAAGGCCTCCTCTAGGAGACCGAATTAGGGAGCAGAACCCCCAAACCCCACTGGCTTTGGCTCCGTGAACGCAATGCACGCTGAAAGCAGTGGCCCAGGTTGTTGCAGGAGCTCTGGCCTTTCCCGTGCAAACCTCGGGCTCAAGACCCCCATTCAGGATGCCCACGGATATGCACACAGAAAAGCAGTGTGGCATGCTGGAAAGAACACGGCACTTGGGGCCCGATAGGCCTGGGTTTGTGTACCAGTTGTGCCTCTTCCTGGCCCTGGCAGGAAGACTCAAGGAGTTTGTGCCTCCAAGCTTTGCTTGTTGGGAACAGATAGATGATGGTGCCCCCTCTGAAGGGTTAATTAGGATTAGACATAGGAAGTCAACACCACCGGCAGTGCTGGGCGCTTATTAGGTGCTTTATCAGTGGTAATTTTGTGTCCTGTCCCCTGTGAGACAAAATCAGCAATATGTCCTTTGTCAGAGCCTATGTACTAGTTTGGGGTGTGAAGGAGCTATGCTTCAAGTGAAGCTGTGCTTCCGAGATCTCAAGCTGTTATATAACAAGATTTCTCTACATCAAACACAGGCGAAAGTCCCAGCAACATCGACTTGGCATGTCATCTTTTAAACCAAAAGTGACGTGGTTTAAGTCAAAAGATTGAGGAAGCTATTTCAACGGCAAAAAGATATTGCCTTCCTTGAATGAAATTACCTGCAGGGTGGATTTGAAGAGCCTAGGAGAGTTGGGCAAACTGGACAGAAGTTTGAATTGAGAGACCAGGGCCTGAGTTTTGCAAATAACATGCATTTTTCCGTTATCCGTGCTGTACATGAGGTAGAGTCAAATAGAATAAATTGAGCTGACACTGACCTTTATTTTTTTTAAAAGACTACAAGGAATTTCTCCAATATGGCCTGGACCCCTGGCTCCCTTCCTGAAGACAGACCTGGCTGTGGATTTTATAATGAGCTCTGTGAAACTGAGCCTGCTTTGATGGGTAAGTATGGCTGCTTGGAGAAGGTAGCAGGGAAAGAGTTTCTATAGTAGGGTGTCTCTATGGCAGGCAGCACTGTTGACATTTTGGGCCAAATAATTTTTGTGTATGGTGAGCCTGGCATTTCAAGTCACACGTTCCTGTATATTATGTTTAGCAGCATCCCTGGCCTCTACCCACAGATGCCTGTAGCAGCCCTCTAGTTGGAACAACGAGAAATGTCTCCAGACATGGCCAGATATCCCCTAGGAAGCAAAATCACCTTCCTCCCCTGCGGAGAATCACTGCTCTAAGGGAACCTGGCTCCTGAGATTTGAGTCTCAGGAACTTCACCTCTAGGGAGGTTGAAAGAGTCTGGGCAGGGGAGTGTGCCCCAGTGGTTAGGAGCCCAGCCCTGGAATTAGATGGATCATGCCTGGAGAACCACCCAAAGGAGAACACACAGTAAATGTTCAGTAAACACTGGTGGTGGAGTTAGAAGTCATCATTATTATTTCTCTGCAGTGGAACTTTCTATACAAAGTGGGAGGTGAATGCAGTTCCAATGGGAACTAGGGTGGTAGTCGGGGAAAAATTCTTAGAAGAGACAAGTCAGAGTAGACTTCATGTGTCCTAACCCAGACCTTCTGGAGGACAGCCTTTGAGGAGCCTGCTTGGCAGGGCCCAGCTGGGCAGGGAGGTACATGCTACTGCTCTTAGGCAAGGCCTGGGTAATATGCCTCTACCCTCCAGGCGTGACTGCTGTGGTTCTCACAATGATGATCCTGATTCCTGTCTTGGGGGCTGCCATCATAGGTCTGATTTTAAGGACACAGAGGGGAAAACTGCAGAGGCAAAACAAAGACATCTGGTGGCAAATCAATTTTGACGATATCATCATTCTACCCCAGAACAGGGTGAGACCACATATGACCTAGATGTCCCCTTTCCTGGTCACTGCTGGAGATTTGTGGAAGGTGCTTCATCTAGGAGCTTATAAGAGCAAGAGGCTAATTTATAAAGTGAATACTTCATGAAGAGTCTCCAGGCCTGAGTTCTAGTTCTAGGCCTCCCACTTGCTTGCTGAATCTGAGAATGTCATTTTACCTCCCCAAGACTCAGTTTCTAAATAGTTACAAATGATTGACAGTCTCTAAAGTTCCATTTGCTCTGTTACTCTGTGGGTGAGAACTGTAGATGCTGTTCAGATATTAAAGCTGTCTCCTGGGGAGGATTTAGTTATTTTATTTTTTGTTTTGTTTTTTTTTTTGAGATGGAGTTTCACTCTTGTTGCCCAGGCTGGAGTGCAGTGGCGCGATCTCGGCTCACTCCAACCTCTGCCTCCCGAGTTCAAGTGATTCTCCTGCCTCAGCCTCCCAAGTAGCTGGTATTACAAAGTGCCTCTAACCACGCCCGGCTAAGTTTTTGTATTTTTTTTTAATAGAAATGGGGTTTCACCACGTTGGTCAGGCTGGTCTCGAACTCCTGACCTCAGGTGATCCACCTGCCTCAGCCTCCCAAAGTGCAGGGATTACAGGCATGAGCCATCATGCCCGGCTGGATTTAGTTATTTTCAAAACCACATTAACTCCTTTAATCAATTGATGACTAATACAGTAATGTTCATTTGTTTGACAAGGACTTGACCATTAACTACAAGCCAAGCATCATACAAGGCATGGGGATATCCCACAAATGAGATGCCTCCAGAGGGAGGCAAGTGTCAGAGAGGTGTTTCCATGGTGAGACGGAAGCCCTGCAGATAGAGGGACTTAAGGTCTCAGCATCTGGAAGACTTTGGAGAGGAGGGGACATTTGAAAAGAGTGAGTTTGCAAGTGGTGAAAAAAAGTGAAGTCACATGGGATATAACGAGATGTGTGATGCTCAGGGCTGGGAAGCTTGGCTGGTACCAAGTCAGGGAGGCTTCAACATGCTAAGAGCAGGTGACTGCGGTTTATTAGTAACTCATCTCCAAACATCCCCGGGGATTCAGACACTTACTCTTTCCTGTTCCACCAAAGCAGCTCTGCTTTGATCTACCTCATTTCTACATGAGGGTTCCAGATAAGATTCTCCTTGAAAACAAGATTCCTATGCTTTGAAGATGTTTTCTAGGTGTTGGGAGGCACTGAGGGTATTAAACAGAGACAACCTAGTTAGATGTTCTTTAAGAAAATAACACTAACCCCAGGCCACACATCTAATTAAGTGCCACAGCCAGAACTTAAGTCTGGGCAGTCTGACCTCAGAGCCTTCCCTCTTAACCTACACCTCCATGGTGATACAGACGCCATAGAGGGCATGGAGGATGGGATGGTGCTGTCTTAGAGTGATGCATGTAGCAGGTCAGAAAGATCACGGTTCAAATCCTGACTCTCTTATTATTAACTGTCTCACCTTGGCACTCAGCTTCCTCCTCTATAAAATGCATTCCCTTTAGTACTTGACCTTGCTACTGAGAGTGACCAAATCATTTCCTGTTTTACAGCCACCCTAGAGAAGCATACCTGTGTCAAGAGGCATCACCAGTAACTCATCTAGTGTGGTGATTTCTGTGGACCTCAGCTCTTTTGTCAAGAGCCAGCAGGGGGAAGAGCTCTTCTATGCCCCAATAGGGCTTTATCAGGTATTTCTGAGGCCAGGTGGTTGCCTATAGATCTTAGTGTATCTCTGTCCTGTTCTCTGCATCATTTCTGCCAGGCGGGGCATTCTGAATAGGAGAACGTTCTCCAAGCAAAAGCCAAGGTGGTCTTGTGACTCCAGACTAGTGCTTCCCAAACTTTAATGTGCGGAAGGATCACCTGGGGCTCTTATTAAAATGCAGATTCTGGGTCCATAGGTCTGATGTGGCGCCTGAGAGTCTGCATTTTAAAGAATCTTCTAGGTGATTCCCAAGCTGGCTTCTAGATTAGACTTAGCTTTGTCCAATACAACCTCCTGTGATGATGGAAATGTTGCAGATCTGCACTGTCCAATAAGGTGGCCACTGGCCTCCTGTGATTACTGAACATTAGTGTGTCTGGGCAACTGAATTTTAAATTTTATTTAGTGTTAATTAATTTAAATTTAAATAGCCCCATGTGACTAGTGGCTCCGTGAATGGACAGTGCAGTCCTAGAGTGTGGATTATTTCATCCTTGTTACTTTGGCATGGATGAATCAGTCGTGGGGCCTGGTGCTTCTGTGGTATAGACAGTGACTGCTGCTGCAGCCTGGAACATTATTCCCACTTGTCCTTTCTCACCTTCCCTCCTACACCCAGACCATGATTGCTGCCTGTACCTAGCAATCCTTCCAAAATTCAAGTCCCTTTGGGGGAAGAGTTCGTACGAAATTGTATTTATTCTTTAAAATAGGGGTCCCAGAGAGTAAGGACAGAAAGCTCCGAGCAAGGGAAGAATTGTTCATTGCTCTAAATTGGGGTTAGAAAAGGCTAGAGCCAAATTATCCCCTGTGCAATGAAACTTGATTTTTTAAATGTTTGCTTACTTGAGTTCTCAAACTACAAAAACCTCCTGGGATACTACCAAATACCTTAGGGACCACCATCCATGCAAAACTCTATGTGGTGGTCACCCGGCCACATAAAGAAGGAAGTAGCAACACATAGCATATCACTGTCTGATTGATCTTCCGAAAATATGTCTCGTCTTTCCTCTGTCAAACACCATCACTGGATTCCCCACCTCTGTTGCCTGCATGATAGTGCCCAAACTCTTTAAAAAAGGACTCAAGCCTCTTAACTCGCTAGTCCCTACCTATTTTTCTAATCTTTTTTTCCCCTGGCTTAAATCCTGTGCTCACCCAGTTGGTCTTGCCAATTTTGCCATGTATGTTTCACCTTCTGACGATGCCACTCCCCTTCCACCCAACCCATGTGGAACCTTCTTATCCTTCAAGGTTCAGCCTAAGCATCACCCCTCCAAGAATCCTTTTCTTCATCCCCCAGGCATTCCTTCCTCCGTGGCCCTCCCATCACAGTCCTGAGTCCTTTGCCATTGCCCTCATATGAAACGTGATATTTGTCTTCTCTTATGGCTTACCTTCTCCTGGGTCCAGATTCTATGCCTTCTTCTATCCAGCTCTTACCACATTACGATATGTTTTTGTGATGCCTGATTAAGTGACTCTCTAAAAGCAGACTCCATAGGCAATACAAATAATATATGCCATTTACTGAAAATTTAATCTGTGCCAGGCCTTGAGTTACCAGTGGTATTTTAACTGATTTAATGCTCAGAAAACCTTATGAGATGGGTGTGTTTTTTTAAAAAAAACTTATTTTAGGTTTGGTGTTATTTTCAATCCCATTTTACAGATGAGAAAATAAAGGCTTAGAGAAGTTAAGAACAACTCAAGCTTGTTCAGGTAGTAAGTGGTAGCACTGGGCTTAAAATTAGGCAACTGACTCCAAACCTACACTTATCACTGTAACTCACTATTTCCTCTGAATGATAATGGGATATTATTATATAATAGAAAGCGCATAGTCTTGGAGTCAGACTTTCAAGTTCTGGCTGTACTACCTACAAATATGCAACTTGGGCAAGTTTCGTAACCTCAACAATCCCATCTGGAAAGGGCCAATCATACCTACCTCGCAGGGCTGTGATGCCAGTTAAAGGAGATCTTACGTGTTAAGCAGCTAGCTCAGTGCCTGGCCGTGCACAGGGTCACCAAAGGGGTTTTTTTGGGCAGTGAGGAGCTTGATGATTGGCTCCTAGGTGCATTTCTTTCCAGTTTTCTTGCTCCCCTCCCTAGCCCTAAGTGGAGCTTTTTCTGGTTCATCCTGAGTTAAGAACATTCCACTTTTTCTCTGATTCTAGGGAAACCATGTGGCCATCCGCTATGGTGGTCACCAAGCAGAAGCCTGGGTTAGGAAGCTGACTGTGTTACAGGAAATACAGCTGCTGAGGCCCCCTGCCCAGGGTCAGTGGAGAGACAAAGCAGTGATGCTCTCTGCCCCTCCTCTGCCAGCTCCCTGGTCCCAAAGGAGCAGAGATGGGAGGCTGCTTCCCTTAACATGACCTACCTCTCCCTCCCCTCGACAGCCCAGGCTTTGAATCTCAGACCCCTGGCCTCTCCCAGGCACCTGAAGCCTGGGATCACTCCTACCTCTGTTTCTTCCCCATCATTCTTCCTGGCCTTGATTCTGGCCCTTCATCCTCTGTGTCTGTGATGGCTGCTTGCCTGCCTGCCAGCCTTGAACCTGGTCCTTGGAGTGAGTCAGGTTCATGGGCCTGACTTCCTGCTCCTTCTCTGTGATCTGCTGTGGGCCCCACACTGGCATTGACAGCCATAAGCGTGGAAGCAGGGCTGAGTCCAGCTACTGTGACGTGGTTGAGTTAATCCCCATGGCTGAGGTTAGACTTTGATCATTCCTCTGATTTATTTGCTAGAGACAGACTTCCTGGGTTTACCTCCCAGCTCTGCCACTTATAGGCGTTCCTTTACTTTACCTTTCAGTGCCAGTTCCCTCATCTGTAACATGGGATCTGTAACAGTTCTTATCTAACAAGGTCTTTATAAGAATTGACTGAAAATAGGCAAAGCACACAGCATGGTCCTAGACATAGAGACACACTCTATACATGAGCTATTGTAACCATGATTATTTCTAGATGGGTGAATTAAGGCACAAGAACATTGTTCCCTTCTTTGGTATTTGCACCGAACCACCTAACATTCTGCATTGTCACTCAGTATTGCAAAAAAGGAAGCCCTAAGGTAAGGAAAACAGTACAGTGCACCTTAGGTTTGATTAGTGATAGATAATAGAGAAGTTTCTCAGTGACCTCTGCTATTCATCCAAGGCCAGTTCCTCTCTGGTCTAATTGTAAGACCTGAATTATCTTGTCAGGCTACCTTCTGGGAATCAAATTAGCCAAGTGTCTGCTTCTTTTGTTCTGGGGGGAAACTGAGCTTGGTTTCTTCTCTTAAGATGTTATGACTACTCTTGAACTGTGTTCCTGGGCCCATCCTATTATGGTATGTGACGACAGCTTTCTGTCAGGAACAAGGAAGTGTTTGTAAAACTTGAGACTGCGTGCATTCTCAATATTGAGTCAGGTTATGGTATCTCCTGGAAAGATTTCCAGTTATTAGGTTTAAAGTCTTCTGCCCCACATTGCGTTAGCTCTGGCCAAAAATATAAGCTATGTTACAGTCGAATCTGTTCAATCGTTAAAGCTCACTGTGCTTCACGTTGAGTCACTAGGAATCTTTTGAATAACTGTGTTTTTCAGGATGTTTTGAGAAACTCGGATCATGAAATAGATTGGATATTCAAACTCTCATTTGCATATGACATAGTCAATGTGAGTATAACATAAACTTACCAAAGAATAAATGTGATAGTATTTTTGAGTTGCTCTGTCTTGAATTTAATTGAACTGTAATTCTTCTTGAAAATGTTGGACCTCTTCACATCTCCTCTTCAAGGTGATTCCCGCTCTAAAATCTATCATTTCTATCCGATTTTTTCTTTTCTTCTTCCCTGATTGCAAATAAATATAGAGAGAGGAAAGTATTTTACACTAAAGTTGGAATGGATGCCAAGTTTACCCAATCAGAAAAGAGCAGAATATTTACATTGTAGGGTAGAACTTTCTATCTCAAAGAGCATCTCATCACTAGATTATAAATCGGACTGGGGGAGGTGATTCCTGATATTCTTCCCTGCTCTCTAGCCCCCGATTTCTTTCCCTAGGAAATGGGGATGCCACATTAACCACAAAGCTGCTGACCTAAGAGGTGGGCCAGAGATGCTGATCGGAGGAGGTAGAATCTTTGCTTTGGCCCAGGGGGCTATGGTGGCTGCAAAGAAGAAGGGAATAATAGTAACACTAAAATATATAGAGTGCCTACTTTGGGCCAGGCACTTTCCAGTACTTTGTATATATTAATTTATTGAATTCTCACAAAAATATAAGATAGATCTATTGTTACTTCTGTTTTACAGATTAAAGAAACACAAAGCACAGAAAGTACATATGACCTTCCTGAAGTCTCATAGCTATGAAATAGTGGAGTTAGGATTCAAACCCAGCCATTTTCAAGTCCTATACCCTTAACCACTGTACCATACTGCCTCTCAGTAGGAAGCACGAGAGCTTGCTTTTGTGTTTTACCACAGGGAGAAGTCAGTCTCACATCTAGAAACCCATTAGGGGCTGGGGAGGGGTAATTCAGAGGGAGTTGGAGAGAGACCAATTCCTGCCTGTTGCCAGGAAGGCAGTGGAAATGCTGAGAGGTGGCAGCTGGATCCAAAGCCCAAGGTGACACTGCCTTGAAGGGCCATGCCCTAGGTATGCAGCTGGTGATGAGGGATGGAGAGGGCAGGAGTGGGAGGAGATTTGCTGTGGGACGAGCCATGTCAGTATGGACCAGCATCCTGAGGCTGCTCTCTCCTACCTGCACTAAATCCAGCTGTTCTTTCTTAAGCTTGCTGCCTGTACTTTTACCACCAGAAGGACAAAGCCAGTGACCTGGGAGTCAGTCTGGTGAGGAAACCTCTCAGTCATGGGCAGCACGGTGAAGGATGGTGGTCCACTGCTAGTCAATAGTCCAACCATCAATCAACCAACAGACTCCTGTGGGGAAGACTCACCTGGGTGTTGAGAGGGCAAAAAGAATGAAACACAGGCTGTGCCCTCCTGGATTAATGGGCCACCCACTTATTGAGTGATTTTGCCAGTACACTTCCCTTCTGTAGACCTCGACCTCCACGTAGGTAGAATGAATGAGCTTGGCCCAATTGAAGTCTAAGGGCTTTCCTTCAACAAGGATTTTATTGCTTTTTGTTTCTAGGGAGCTGAGTCCTATAGCTCTGTGAGACTTTGACTTCCTAGGCTTTAGCAGGAAGCCAGCAGATTGTTGTCAAGCAAGGTCGATAAACAGAAGCATCTCTGTGATTGGGTCTTCACTGGCAACCCTGGACCACCACTGTTATTATTTCATTAAAATTTTATTGAGCATCTGTTAAGAGTTTATCCTACTCTGGTCACTTTTGTAGGAAGAAAGGACTTGTTTCCAGCTTTGAATGGCTTAAAATCTAGGGAAAAATAAAACAGTCTGGAGATGTACATATAAAATTCTTTAAGTGGCAGTGATTGTAAACTGGGAGGATGTGACGTGGCATCTTTTCCTACCCTGGAATATTCTCTCCTTCCCTTCACCTACTTTTCCTTTCTTTTCCCACCAAGCATAGAGAAGCATTCTGGACTCCAATTATCTGCCTCCTGCCCCCAACAAAATAGCCGACATCATTTATTTTGGAAGTGAAGAGTAAGCTAGTAAGTTCTCACCAAGCCATGAATGACTAACAGATTTGACCTCTTTAGTGTAGGCATCAGATTTCAAGAAGCATTAACCCAAAGGTTTCTCTGAAAAAACGCTATGGCAGGTGGGCATGGCACTTTGAAGGGGAAGAGCTCCCTGGTGGTCATCACCTACTCTAGCTCACTGAGTCTACCCTCTACTCTGTGCCAGGAAAACAGAGGACAGCTTGGCATTTTGCTTTGGCAGGATCATTACCTCCTGAGATGGAGTGTGCACATTCTGGGATCATGTAGGGTCACTACTGATGACACAATAGGCTAGGTCAAGGCACAGGTAGGACCTTTGAGGTTAACTACTCTGCCAATGTTCTTTGAAAGGGGATTGCAAGTAACAGAAAATGTAATGTTCTCTTAGAGCCTTCCCAGGAGTCTGGGCATTGGGCCAAGCTCCATGAGGGCGATTGTACTTTGGAAACAAGTCTCTCAATGTCTATTTGATCAGCACCTCCTCTATATCAGGTATCAGAGGGACTCCAAGATGCCATAGACATTTCAAGGCAACAAACATATATTGATTGAGTGCCTAATTTGGATCAGACCCGATTCTGGGCGTAGGAGGCACAGACGAATGAACCTCATTGTCCTGTCCCCAAAAAGTTCAACCCAGTTGGGCAAGCCTGGGAAGGAGTTTGGAGAGTATAATACTCTCCTTGAGTTACAAATAGGGCTTCATGTCTAAGTAAGAGAAGTCTCGATGGATTAAGAGGATGAAGGATAGTTCAGTATAGAAGTTGTCTTTGGAGTTTGAACCCTGACTGCCACTTATTGGCCAGGTGACCTTAACAACCCTGGGCCTCATATTCCCTGTATGTAAAGATAACATCAGTACCTGACTCATAGGGTTACGTGAGGCCTAATGTATGCAAAATGCTTAGTGCCATGCCCTGCCTGTAACAGGTGTCCAGTAAATGTTGATTGTTAGTAGTAGCAGTAGTATTATCACAATCATAGATAATTCTATTACTGGTATTAAAAGAAGTACATTTTCTTGTTTTAATTTCCCCAACACTCTTATGAGGTAAGTCTGCACTGTCCAAATATGATAGCCACCAGCCACATGTGGATAATGAGCACTGCAATTGTAGCTAGTTCAATTTGAGATGTGCTGTAAAGTTTATACTGGATTTTGTAGACTTAGCAAGAATAATAAAATATAAAATATCTTGCTAATATATTTATGTTGGTTACTTGCTGAAATAAGATTTTTCAATGCATTGCGTTAAATAAAACATTATAAAATACACTTCATCTGTTTGGTTTATAACACGGCTGCTGAAAATGTAAAAATACACATATGGCTTGTATTATGTTTCTATTGGACAGTGATCTCAATAATTAACAATGAACTCCATTATTAATTCATTTTTAGCTCCAATCATAGTAATATTGGAGTGACATGATCTCCATTTCCAAGAGGGAAAAAGTGAGGCTTAATGAGGTGAAGTCACCTGCCCAGCTGGTAAGACACAGATTGGGATTTGTAGCCAGTCCGTCTCCAAAGGCTGTGTTTGTTCTTCTATATGATGCTTCCTCCTTGCTAAGTACCAGAGAGTACAGATATGGGGCCCAGAGGTAGGAGCCCTGTCTGCCACCCAGGAATTTCCAGTAGGGCAAGAAATGTACCTAACAGACAGATGATTGAACTGATACTGGCGGGCTAGGGGAGGTCCCCAAATGCTGGTGGGACCTCGACCCCAGCCAATGTGAAAGCTCTTAACACCATTGTGAGAAGGAATTCAAGGATAAATCAGAAAATAGTGAAAGTGTGGAGATTTACTGCAAAGTGAAAAGTACACACTCAGGAAAGGGGAGTGTGGGCGGACTCAAGAGAGAAAGAGTTGCGCAATGGGATTTGAGGCTTCTACCTTCTTGAGTTTCTTTAACCAAGGGGTAGAATATTCATGAGGATTCCTGGAAAAAGGTGGAGATTTCTGGGAACTGCGGTGCTACCCATTTTTACATCAAATATGGCTATTCCTGGAACTGTTGTGGCACCGGTGGGTGTGTGACCTAGTATGTTAATGAGCTTATAATAAGGTCCCAGGTGAAACTTAGGCCAAATCCAGCACCATGTTGGGTCCAATTGGTCTTAGCCTGCTTGGCCCACACCCTGTTCTTTTCAGGGTCTTATCAGCCCTGAAAATAATAGCTTATGCAGCTATTTCAATTCCTTTTTGCTAGCCATGTGTAACAGACCTGGAATTTTCTGTTCTCCTGCGGTCACCCTGTGTTATTCCTGTCTCAGAGCTGCCAAAAGTGTATAAAATCTGACATGTAAATAATGAATCCTTTCGCAGCTCTATTTGCTCTATGACAATATACATAAAAATCATACATTTCCATCAAGATAGAAAATAAAGACATGCATGCCGTCTCTTGGAGAGGAATGCACACCCAGGATTCCAAGCATCCCTCAGCATGTCATTTTCACCCTAATGGAAGGAGTTCTGCTAAAATCCTAGAATGTAAAATTGTTGACTGTAAAATATCTCATACTTGAGGTAGGCCTGGAACTAGCAAGGACAGGAGGAAAGCAGAAAAAACCTTGTGTGTATCAGGGACAGTTCTGTTGAATGGAGAGGTCTCCTCCTGGAATCAGAGCGAACTCTGGATTAGACACAGGTCTCACCCGACTTCAAGCTTGGACCTTAGCCTATTGGAGCCTCCCTGGGAAAGTCTCAGAGGCAACCCCAGCCAGGCCCCTCCAGGTCCAGTTGAGTGGGCGGCAATTTCAAAATGTGATTCAACGTTACCATCTAAAAATAAATAAGGCACTTTGATAAAGGAACATGGGGTAGGGGGTGGAGAGTGATTGGGGCAGGGCTGGGGGCATGTATCCATTCTCCTGGATGTTTTCTGTATTATCCCATGTTTCTTTTTTGTTATTTGTTTTTTGAGACAGAGCCTCACTTTATTGCTCAGGCTGGAGTGCAGTGGCGGGATCTAGGCTCACTGCAACCTCCGCCTTCCAGGTTCAAGCGATTCTCATGACTCAGCCTCCAGAGCAGCTGGGATTACAGGCACCCACCACCATGTCCAGCTAATTTTTATATTTTTAGTAGAGACGGGGTTTCACCATGTTGGCCAGGCTGGTCCTGAACTCCTGACCTCGAGTGATCCACCTGCCTCGGCCTCCCAGAATGCTGGGATTACAGGCATGAGCCACTGCGCCCAGCCAACTTGAGGCTTTTTTTTTTTTTTTTTTTTTGAGACGGAGTCTCACTCTGTAGCCCAGGCTGGAGTGCAATGGCACAATCTCAGGTCACTGCAACCTCTGCCTCCTGGGTTCAAGCAATTCTCCTCCTTCAGCCTCCTGAGAAGCTGGGATTACAGATGTGTGCCACCATGCCAGGCTAATTTTTGTATTTTTAGTAGAGACGGGGTTTCACCATGTTGGTCAGGCTGGTCTCGAACTCCTGACCTCATGATCCGCCCACCTTAGCCTCCCAGAGTGCTGGGATTACAGGCATAAGCCACCATGCCCAGCCCCTATCCCATATTTCTAATGCAATATTGGCCTCAGGGCTCTAGCTTAGGTGGGATAGTGACTTGGCCTGTCAAGCACTGCTGGAGGAAGAGGTGCCCCCCTGTTCTGGTGAAGCTGGTTGTTGTCTGGGGTAAATATCTGAGGTTCATAGTATCACGCCAAGGAAATCGAGTACTCGGACACACCAGAAGTGGGTTTAGGAGCACAGGTTTAATAGGCAAAAGAAAGAGAAAGGAGAATAGCTCTTCTATGCGAGAGAGGGGGTCCACAGCGAAGTGCACCAGATTTTATAGACTGGCTTAAGGAGGCGGTGTCTGATTTACATAGGGCCGAAAGATTGGTTGGACCAGGCATGACGTTTACGTAGCCAGCAATGAAGCTGGCTGCCCTACCTTAATCTTCTATTATGCAAATGAAGTCTTTGCCCACCTGGCGCCATGTTGCCTGCTCCTTACTGTACACGTGGTTTACAAGGAAAAGGGACAACGGATCCCCTATCTGAACGTGACTACTCCCTAGGTAGCCCCTTTCCTGTTAGCACAGCTGCAGGCATTCACCCATGCAAGCTTCTAGCCTGGCTTTCTATGTCTGCAGCTCGATTCTACAGGCTGCTTTTTGTTAGAAAAGAAAATGATTTGGGGGCTGTCACGCGTGTCCATATAGAAGACCACCTAAATACGCTTTGTGTGAGCAACAAGGCTGTTTATTCACTTGGGTGCAAGTGGGCTGAGTCCGAAAAGAGAGTCAGTGAAGGGAGATAGGAGAGGGGCAGCTTTATGGAAAGTTACAGTTGGAGGTGGTTATCTATTGTTAGCAGGGGAGGGGGTCACAACATGTATGGTGGGGAGATCATAAGACTCATTGTCCAGAAGAAGAAAGTCATGGGGTCGATTGATCAGCTGGGGCAGGGTATGAACAAGTCATAATGGTAGAATGTCGTAAGATGGGTCAATTAGTTAAGGCAGGAACTGGCTGTTTCACTTCTGTGTGGTTTTTCAACTACTCCAGACTTCTTGGCTCCTGCAGGCCATCTGGACGTATATGTGCAGGTCACAGGGGTTACAATGGCTGAGCTTTGGCTCAGAGGCCTGACAGGGGCTGCTTTTCATTTAAAGAAAAACCTTACCGAGGACTCCCATACACTCACTAAGTGTCTAAATAATTTCTTTATTAACTCTTTTTTTTTTTTGAGACGGAGTCTCACTTTGTTGCCCAGGCTGGAGTGCAGTGGCACAATCTTGGCTCATTGCAACCTCTGCCTTCTGAGTTCAAGTGATTCTCCTGCCTCAGCCTCCTGAGTAGCTAGGATTACAGGTGCCTGGTGTGTAAAAATTAGCCACCACGCCTGGCTGATTTTTGTATTTTTAGTAGAGATGGGGTTTCACCATATTGGTCAGGCTGGTCTTGAACTTCTGACCTTGTGATCCACCCACCTCGGTCTCCTAAACTGTTGAGATTCCAGGCATGAGACATCATGCCCAGCCTCTTTCTAACTCTTATGTCACTGGTGCCCAAGAGGCCCAAGACCCTGTCCCTGGGTTCACTTCTCTGTTCAGGATGTTCCCCCCTACTCCATTCCTCTCCAGGACCTCCTCATAGCCCCTCCCACACATGACTTCACTGCCCCTTCTCAGCTAGGTTGTGTAATTGTGTAATTACACATTGGGGTTGTGTAGTTGTGCAGGGGGAGTATGTGCTTTGACCCTCCTTCCTCCCTCTTCCCTCCTCCCCCTTTTTCTCTCCCATCACCCAGGGCACAGGGAACAGGAGAATCTAGTGGTTTAGAAGCAAGGCTTCTAACCCAGTCTCACCTGGGTTTGTATCCCAGCTCTGGTCCTGACTTCTTGGGAGCAATTTAACACTCCAAATTTACTCGTCCTAGCCTGATCACTAGGATGTATTTATTTTAAGCTGGCTTGGCCTTCTTGGCTTCACACAAAGGAGCTGGAAATAGTTTTCTCCATTTTGGGTGTCCCAGCCCCAGTTGACTACAGGGACAAGGGGCTATGCTGGTGGCTCCTGAACAAATGAACACAGAGATGGGCACATCCCCTGCCCAGGCCTCTCTATCTGTGTTTCTGCCCATCTGTCTCTCTGCCTCGGTTCCTTCCAGCAGTGTTACCAGCACCCGGTCTCCCTCATTTGCTCATTTTCACCCTTGCAGGGCATGCTTTTCCTCCATAGGAGCTTCCTGGGCTCCCACGGCAACCTGAAACCTTCCAACTGCCTGGTGAATGGTCGGCTGCAGGTGAAGCTGTTGGGATTCGGACTGTGGAAACTCAAGTATGGCCGGACATACAGAACATATGATGAGACAGTGGTTGATTTTGCACCCACCAGCTATTGGCAGCATGGCTAGAGGTTCCTAGCTCCATCTTTGCTTCCTGGTGCTCATCTGTGCAGGTATCCACACGTGGGCCTTCCTCTGGAGCTGATGATATGTGGTTGTTCTGTTCACCTGAGAACGAGAAAAAAAATAGTCTCTGCAGGTGGCACCAGTTCGTGGGGTGATGTCTGGGTTTGGAGACTGGTTCTTGTCCTAGCTTAGCTGGGCCACCTGGAGCAACAATTGCCTGTCTCTTTAGTTCTCTTTGTTCCTTCCCACATTCATCCTATGTTCTCAGCTTAGAACATAAGATTTGTCAGACATTTTAGAGATAATCGAGTTCTATAATTCTGTCTTCTAGGTGCCTGGTCCCGCCACCCCCGACCAACTATCAACTGAATCAGAATATCTGAAGATGGGGTCTTGGCCTCTGAATTGTTTTTTAAATGCTCCCAAGAAATTCTGCTGTGCATCTGAAGACAAAACCACTGCCTCAAGTCCACTTTTCCCTTCCATATGTGCCAAGTGGGGTTCAATGACTCTTCCTACCTGTCTGGTTAATTGAATGCCCTGGATTGTTACCTCTGCATGTATCCTGGGCTCCCTTAAGACCAATGTTCTTAGCCCCGATCCCCTTTTTGCTGGAGCAGCATGTCACCAGCAGCTTTTTTGTGTCAATTTGGGAGGTTTCTATAGCATATGATAGGATGATGTCTTACAGAAAGACAAGGAGGATGGGAGTGGTGGCTTATGCCTGAAATCCCAGCACTTTGGGAGGCTAAGGTAGGAGGATGGCTTCAGTCCAGGACTTTGATACCAGCCTGGGGAACACAGTGAGACTTCCCTCCAACACCTATACTTAAAAAAAAATTAGCTGGTGTGGTGACATGTGAGGCTGAGGTAGGAGGATCACTTGAGCCTGGGAGGTCGAGGCTGCAGTGAGCTGTGATTGCACCACTGCACTCCAGCCTTTAGAGACCCTGTCAAAAAAAAAAAAAAAAAAAGGACAAGGGGAGAAATTTTGTTTTTATTATTAATTAAGTAATTAATTAATTATGAGACAGTCTCACTCTGTTGCCCAGGCTGGTGTGCAGTGGTGCAATCCTGACTCATTGCAAACTCTGTCTTCTGGGTTCAAGCAGTTCTCATGCCTCAGTCTCCTGTGTAGCTGGGGATTACAGGCATGCACCATCACGCCTGACTAATTTCTATAATTTTAATGGAGACGGGATTTCATCATGTTGGCCAGGCCAGTCTTGAATTCCTGACCTCAGGTGATTTGCTCTCCTCGGCGTCCCAAAGTGCTGGGATTATAGGCGTGAGCCACCGCACCCGGCTGAGACCTGCTAGCAGCTGTCCTAGTTCCCCTTCCACATCCTCTAATATTTATCTTTTCTTTTAATGACTATGACCTATAATGACATAAGCTTTTAGACTTCACTGCAAAAAAAGAAGGTATGTGAAATATCTAGAATAGACAGATACATCTGTAGAGACAGAATGCAGGTTGGTGGTGGTTACCAGGGGTTGAGGGTCGGGAGAACAGGGAGAAACTGCTTCATGAGTAAGGAGTTTACTTTGGAGTGATGGAAATGTTTTGGAGCTAGATAGAGGTGGTGGTGGTTGCATAACATTATGAATGTGCTAAATGCCACCGAATTGTTCATTTAAAATGGTTATTTTATTTTATTTTATTTTATTTTTTGAGATGAAGTCTTGATCTGTTGCCCAGGCTGGAGAGCAGTGGTGCGATCTCGACGCACTGCAACCTCTGCCTCCTGGGTTCTAGTGATTCTCCTGCCTCAGCCCCCCAAGTAGCTGGGAGTATAGATGTGCTCCACCATGCTCGGCTAATTTTTGAATTTTTATTTATTTTTATTATTTATTTATTAGAGGCAGAGTTTTGCTCTTGTTGCCCAGACTGGAGTGCAATGGCGTGATCTTGGCTCACCACAACCTCTGCCACCTGGGTTCAGGCGATTCTCCTGCCTCAACCTCCCAAGGTGCGGGGATTACAGGCATGCGCCACCATGCCCGGCTAATTTTGTAATTTTAGGAGAGACAGGGTTTCTCCATGTTGGTCAGACTCGTCTTGAACTCCTGACCTCAGGTGATCCACCTGCCTTGGCCACCCAAAGTGCTGGGATTATAGACATAAGCCACCATGCCTAGCAATTTTTGTATTTTTAATAGATGAGGGGTTTCACCATGTTGGCCAGGCTGGTCTGGAACTCCTGACCTCAATTTATCCTCCCGCCTCAGCCTCCCACAGTGCTGGGATTACAGGCGTGAAGTGCACCCAGCCTAAAATGGTTAATTTTATGTTCTATGAATCATACCACAATTGTTTTTAAAAATAAAGGCAATACAGAGAAGGAACATAAACATGAAAACCAGCTGTAATTTTAGTCTTGAGTAAACCACCATTAACATGTTAGTGCACATCCTTCCTGCTGATTTTCTCCATATTCACACACACGGACCCCTATTTGCTCTTCAAACCAGACACCATTGGGGCTGATGGCTCAGGGCTGGATGCCTTCCTTTCTCCTGTGCCCCCAAGGATGAAGGGGTGGCTTTTCCAGTTTTGCCCAGCAGCACCCTCACTCCATGCGGACATCCCATTGCTTTGCAGAGCTCTACTGGATTGCCCCAGAGCTGCTGCGGCTCCCGGAGGTGCCCTGGTCGGGTACTCCACAAGGTGATGTTTATAGCTTCACCATTCACCCCACAAGGAGATGTTTATAGCTTCACCATTCTGATGAGGGAGCTGATCCACCACTGGGACCATGGGCCCTCTGATGACCTCCATGAGGCACCGGATGGTAAAGCGGGAGAGCCTGCTTGGGAGGTTTTGGTTGTGTGGGCTAGCTTTGAAATGCTGGTTTTTAAAATTAATTGTTTTATTCATTTACAACTTATTCCATCATTTTTTATTGAAAAATTCATGTTCTTTCCCTAGCAAGCAGACTCAGGAAAAAAAAAAGAAAAAGAAAAATCCATATTCTTTTTTAAATTAGAAAACGAATTCCATTTTGGTTACCAAAAAAATCAAGGGACCTCAAATTATATAACTTATTGTATTACAGAAGCCAGAGGGATCCTATTAGAAAATGAGGCAGATTATGTCACTTCTCTATCAGAATCCTCCCCTGGCTTCCTATCTGAGGAGTGAAAACTAAGTCCTCCTCATGGCCTACAAGACCACCGAAGTAACCTCTGTGGCCTTCTGGATTAGTTTCCTAGGGGGGTATAATAGTGACCACAAGCTTGGTGGCTTGAAACACTGATGTTTATTCTTTGGCAGTTCTAGAGGCCAGATGTCTAAAGTCAAAGCGTTGTCAAGGCTCTGCTCCCTCCGGAAGCTCTAGGGAAGGTTCCATTCTCTGCCTCTTCCAGCTGCTGGTGGCTGCCCCAGCATTCCTGCGTTTGTGGCTGCATGGCCTCAACCTCCAGCTCTGTCTTCACATTGTCTCCTCCTCTGTGTACTTATCCTGGCTGTGCCGCTTATGAGGACATTTGTCATTGGATTTGGGTCCCACCCCTGTCATCCAAGATGACCTCCTCAACCTGAGATCCTTAACTTAATTCTATTTGCATAGTTGGTTTATATCCCCTTTCCCAAATAAGGAAACATTTGTAGATTCTGGGGATTCAGATTTGGACATTTCCCTTTAGGAACCACGATTCAGCCCATCGCACCTTCCTACTGTCATCTCTTATGGCTCACTCCTTTCATCACGCTGGCCACCTTCATGCGTCGCCAACATAGACAAATTTATAAAGACAGAATGCAGGTTGGTGGTGGTTACCAGGGGTTGGGGGTCGGGAGAACAGGCAGAAACTGCTTCATGAGCAAGGGGTTTACTTTGGAGTGATGGAAATGTTTCTACCACTCCAGACACATTTCTACCCCAGACCCTTTGTGTGTACTGTTCCTTCTGCCTGGACACCTCTCACCTCATATTCCTATATACAAATTTGCCCTATTCTTTCTTAAGGTTTACAATATTTTTTATTGTGAGAATATGCCATAAATGGTACCTCGATACACATTTTGGAAATTGCTGCAATGAGCAGCTCTGTATCTTTGCACACATGGGTGAATGTTTCTTCAGGCTAGATTTCTAGCCATGAATTTGAGGAGATAAATATATTTTAAATATATTTAAAATCCATGCTAAATGCTGTTCAGTTGTCCACTTACAAAGGATATTTTTGGGCTTTTTTTTTTTTTCTTTTTGCTGGATTGTCTCTTAATGGCTGATGCCTGGATCTCAGCCCGAGATTCTGATATCATTGGTTTGGGGTGCTGCCTCAGTGTCAGGGTTTCAAAGCTCCTGGCGTGATTGTAATATGTAGCAGCTCAGGCTGCTTGGAGAGAAGATACCAGTGTGTGTGTGCACACACGTGAGTGTGAGTTTCTAAGTAAACTCAACCCACTTTCTCTCTTGATTTTTTTTTTTTTCTTGCTTTGCCTATCATTTCTAGCCTATCCTCAGTGACCTATCTCAAGCCTCGGCTTTAGGTCATTATCTATTACCTGGAGACTTTTTGAGTCAGGAGCCCATTGTGAGGATATGCAATTGCTTTTAGACCAGATTCCAGTTTCTAATTTCCAGTTAAATAAAGCAGAGGTGAGATTAATCCAAAAACAGTAACTCAAAATCCAAGTGCATCTAACTTTGGCATCAAGCACACACACAAATATTCCCAGACAGCCCAGGCAGGAGCCCACCCACAGTCCCTCAGCCCCATCACCGCCTAGTTTTGCCAGTTGGGTTCTGTAAGGGAAGATACTATGGACAATCAGTGTATTTCCCCTTCATTGTTGAGCTCACAAAATTAACTGAGAGCTGGCTACATGGGACTATGTATTCACAGGACTGCAACCAGGAAGAGTACAGTGTATACCTAATTTATGGGCAAACACTTCTTCAATTAACTTCTGACGCTTTCCTACAAACAAAGCTTGTCCTGGGAACGGAGTAGCTATTGATTCTCTGGGCACACAAGACCCGTGGTTCTCAAACTGTGGCGGACATCAGAATCACCGGGAGGTGGTTAAAACACAACATTGTTGGGTTCCACTGTTGGGATTTCTGACTCAGGAGGTCTGGGGTGAGGCCTAAGAATGTGCATTTCCATCACCCTCCCAGGTGATGCTGATAAAGCCACAGCTTAAGCACTGGCCTTGGTCCTTCTGGTGCTTGGACCAGCAGCATCAGCATCAGCTGGATACGTGTCAGAAATGCACATTTTCAGGCCCCACTCCTGACCTGCTTCATTGGAAAAGCTGGAGGAATTGGTCCAGAAATCTGTGTTTCAGCAAGCTCCCCAGCGATTCTGATGCACATTGCCAAAGCAAATGAGCAATGGTGCTAACATGTCTAGTAGACGGTTAAAGATTATAGGATGGAAACAGCTGGCTAGAAGTTACTAGGTAATTCACACATGTTCTCTGAAGTGCAGACCCATGGGTTCGAATTTGCTCTCGAAGTCCTGTATCGTTTTTCTGATTCTTTCATTTCTTAGAGCTAAACACAGAAAGCAGAAGATGCCATAGTAATTCAGTCACTGCTTTTGAAGCCATTACTGTCTCATGTCTCAAAATGTACTTCATTTGGGAAGTAAAACACAATTTTCCAGAGTATTTTTTTTTTTTTGAGATGGAATCTCTCTGTCACCCAGGCTGGAGTGTGATGGCATGATCTTGGCTCACTGCAACCTCCACCTCTGGGTTCAAGTGATTCTCCTGCCTCAGCCTCCTGAGTAGCTAGGACTACAGGCATCCACCACCATGCTTGGCTAATTTTTATATTTTTAGTAGAGATGGGGTTTTGCCATGTTGCTAGGCTGGTCTCGAACTCTTGACCTCAAGTGATCCCCCCTGCCTTGGGTTCCCAAAGTGCTGGGATTATAGGTGTGAACCACCGTGCCTGGCTCCTAGAGTGCTTTTTAATGCACATACTTTCAGAATAGTTTTAGGCGTTAAACATGTACACCTAAACAAGACATTTTATGCACAGTTTTGTAACCTGTATTTTTTTTTTAATTAAACTAACAGTCATATATTATTCAGATTTCCTAGTTCTTGCCTAATGTCCTTTTTCTGTCTCTGAACCCCATCCAGGGTACCACATTACACTTGGTCATCCTGTCTCCTTAAGTTTCTCTGGGAAAATTTCTCAGACTTTATTTTCAATGACCTTGACACTTCTGAGGAGTACTGGTCAGATATTTTGTAGAAGTTCTTTCATGTGGAATTTGTCTGATTTGTTTTTCTTTTCTTGTGGTTTGGCGTTTGTGTGTTTTGAAGGATGACTGCACAGGTAAATTGTCCTTTTCATTGATTATTGCTGTTGATGTTGACCTTGATCACTTGGCTGGGGAAGTGTTTGTCAATTTCTCCACCATAAAGTTACTCTGATTTCTCCCTTCCATACTTAGTCTAGGACTGAGTGAGGAGTTAGGCTGGGTGTGGTGGCTCATGCCTGTAATCCCAACATTGTGGGAGGCCAAGGAGGGAGGATTGCTTGAGTCCAGGAGTTTGAGAGCAACCTGGGCATATAGGGAGACCCAGTCTTTACAAAAATACAAAAATTACCCAAGTGTGGCAGCATCCTAGCAGCTACTCTGGAAGCTGAGGCGCGAAGATTGCTTGAGCCCGGGAGGCGGAGTAAAGATCCTGCCACTGCACTCCAGCCTGGGTGACAGAGACCCTGTCTCAAAAAAAGAGAGAAAAAAAAGCAAAAAAAAGGGTGGGGAGTCAGGCTCCACCTCTTTGAGGAAGGAGTATTTGGAATTCTTCTCCGTGGGAGATTTGTCTACTCTGCCCATTCATTTATTTCTTCAAGTACTTATGTCAGTATGAACTCATGGATATTTATTTTATACTTTGGGTTATAACTGAATATCACTTTATTTATTTTGTAGCTTAAATTATTCCAATTTTCGCCATTCAGTTTCAGGTAGCTTCTGTGTCTCTTGGATGTGTAGCCATCACTGTGGTGTTTTGTCTTGTTTCTGCGTATTTCCTTACTTTCTGGTAAGACAAGAAAGTCTCTTTTTGCATATCCCCTGCCCCAGTGCTAGAAGCAAGCAAATCTCTCCAACAAGCCCTGGCTTCTTTTGTTGGAGAAAAGTATTAGAAAGTTAGAGCTGACACTAGATGTGCTCATTGCTACCGGGGGTTGTTACTTACGGGCCCTCTCGGTGGACAGACTAAGGAAATACGTATGTGTACTAACCCGTGTGTATACATATCTCTATAATTACACATGCACACATACACATATATCTGCATCTACATTAAACTAAACATGAGTTCCCATTGATGTCTCTAAATGTAACTCATCACCATCATGGTTCATTGCAGTCTTCCCATTACTTTTCTGTAAATTCCAACATTGAGATCCTGGCTCCCACCATCCACCACCCATGTACTTTGTTCAATCCCCATATGTGTGTTCAGTGATTTCAGACTTGTTAATCTGCATCCCCACGAGAAACAGTTTTACCAACTAGAGTACGATGATTATGAATAGTTCCTTTTGTCTTTAGTCTTAAGTCTCTAGTCATTTCAGAAGTGATGTAGGTCAGCATTCTTTCTCACTCATCCCATTCAGTAAGATTATGCCATATATTTGTAACACTGTTAGATTCTTTTATTGCTGTCTGCATTCTATCTTGGGGTTGCATAATTTCCCAATTGGTGTATTTTAAAGTTTGCTTTCCTTATGGCTTACTTTTGTGCTGTAAAACTCTGTGGGTTTTGGCAAATATATAGTGTAATCTATCCACCACTGTAGTATCCTACAGAAAACTTTCCTCATCCTAAAAGTATCCCCGGCATTTCATGTAGTCAATGCTCTCTGCTCCCCAAACTCTTGGCAACCACTGATCTATTTTCTGTCTCTAAAATTTTGTCTTTTCCAGAATGTATATTTCCTTACTTTCTGGGAAAACAAGAAAGTCTCATTTTGCATATCTCCTGCCCCAGTGCTAGAAGCAGTCAATTCTCCAAGAAGCCATGACTTCTTTTGTTGGATAAAGGCATTAGAAAGTAAGAGAATCACAAGGTCAAGAGATCAAGACCATCCTGGCCAACATGGTTAAACCCTATCTCTATTAAAAGTACAAAAATTAGCTGGGCATGGTGGCATACGCCTTAGTCCCAGCTACTGGGGAAGCTGAGGCAGGAGAATTGCTTGAACCTCGGAGGCGGAGGTTGCAGTGAGCCAAGATCGCACCACTGCACTCCAGCCTGGGCCCTAGGGCCAGAGTCTGTCTAAAAAAAAAAAAAAAAAAAAAAATGACACCAGATATGCCCATTGCTGCTGGGGTGTTGTTGCTTCTGGGGTGCCGTGTAAATAGAATCATACAGTACACAGCCTTTTCTGACTGGTTTCTCTAACTTAGTAATAATGCATATGAGACTTATCTATGTTGTTGCATGCACAGTATTTTTATTATTTTTATACCAAAACATGTATACATTTTTCTCAAAATATTATTCCCTTGACAACATCTGGTTAAGCCGAATGTTTAGTGAATGTCAGTAGGAGCCAGTGAAGAAGTGGGAAAAATTAGGTTTACAAAATTGGACAGAGAGGCAGGACATGATGGTAATATTTATTATGTGTTAAAATAACATTTATGCAACATATTGCAGAAAATTTAACAAAATTGCATGAAGCGCAGTTTGGGGGTTTCCAACACGAAATGCCTATACGTTCCTGAAATTATATGGAGATATGCTTCACATCAAGCAAAGTTCTATTTTTAAAAATCGTGATTTGAAAACAAATTAATTAGGAGGGTGTTTGTATGTTTTTCATTAGAATTGTTCATTTTCCAGGCAGATTCAGAGTATCCTATTAAAATATCCAGATTACTTTGGAATTCTAATGTGTTCTATTTATTTAAAAACTCAGTTGACAAATATAAGAGCACAATTACTATTGAAAATGAAGTGTAGTAAGTGGCACAAAGCTCTGATGTTTGGCTGTCTAAACCCAACATGAATTTCAGAAATCATCAACCAAATCAAAGACCGTGCAGCAGCAGTCCCACTGCGGCCTTCCCTGCCCGAGGAGAAGGGCAGTGAAAAGATCATGGCCATGGTGAGGGTATGTTGGGAGGAATCTCTGGAGAAAAGACCCAGTTTCTGTTCCATCAAGAAAACTTTATGAGAAGCCATTCCCAGAGGGTAAGTTAGATGTGCAACAGATATTTACTCTCACTCAGTTAACCATTAGGATTTTAGAGCTGCCAGGCATGGTGGCTCATGCATGTAATCCCTGTGCTTTAGGAGGCTAAGGCAGGAGGATCCCTTGAGGCCAGGAGTTCAAGACCAGCCTGGTCAACATGGTGAGATTCTATATCTATAAAAAAATAAAATAAAATAAAAAATTAGCCAGGTGTGGTGGTGTGAGCCTGTAGTTCTAGTTTCTTAGGGGGCTGAGAATCGCTTGAGCCCTGGAGGTCAAGGCTCCAGTGAGCTATGATTGTGCCACTGTACTGCAGCCTGGGTGACAGAATGAGACCCTGTTTCTGTGATTGGTTCTATGCAACTCATTCCCTCCCTCCCTCCCTCCCTCCCTTCCTTCCTCCCTCCCTTCCTCCCTCCCTTCCTCATACACTCACTCAGGCTTACCATACACAAAGCACTGTACTACATGCTGGTTGCAGTGGAGTGAGAAATTCTCCCTTTATTTCATAGATGCCACAAAATGGATCAGATATTAATAATTTTACTGCCTTCTTTGTCTATCTCAGATGTCACTAATCAATTAAGGTCCTTGTTTCCAGGGAGTTTTGACATGGCTTCAGAATCTGTTTCAAATCAGCATTCCAAGGGTTAGGCTAATCAGTTCGGACTGGACCATGAGATGAAAATTACTCACCACCTGTAGGGTAGGTTATGACTTAAATCATTCATGCGTCTCCAACAACTTTCTCAATAGTAGCTTCCTTTACACCAGATAATTGTATCATCTTTCAGTATATGAATTTAGGAAGACATGCCCATGTTAGAGGTAGCTTGAGTTGGTGGAAAGAGCCCCAGGCTGGGAGTCAGGTGTCTACTCTTAATTTGGACCTTCAGCTATGCATTCCTTTTTTTTTTTTAAACAAAACATTTTTTGGGTCAGGGTCTTGCTCTGTTGCACAGGCTGGAGTGCAGTGGTGTGATCTTGGCTCACCGCAATCTCTGCCTCCCGGCTTCAAGTGATTCTCATGCCTCAGCCTCCTGAGTAGCTAGGACTGCAGGTGTGTGCCACTACGCCTGGCCAATTTTCATATTTTTAATAGAGACAGGGTTTCGCTATGTTGGCCCAGCTGATCTCAGACTCCTGACCTCAGGTGATCTGCCCGTCTTGGGCTCCCAAAGTGCTGGGATTGCAGGCGTGAGTCACCACACGTGGCTTCAGCTATGTCTCTTTTTCTTTTTTTTTTTTTTTTTTTTTTTTTTTTTTTGAGATGGAGTCTCTCTCTGTCACCCAGGCTGGAGTGCAGTGGTGCAATCTCGGCTCACTGCAAGATACGCCTCCTGGGTTCACACCGTTCTCCTGCTTCAGCCTCCTGAGTAGCTGGGACTACAGGTGCCCACCACCATGCCTGGCTAATTTTTTTTGTATTTTTCTTTTTTAGTAGAGACAGGGTTTCACTGTGTTAACCAGGATGATCTCGATCTCCTGACCTCGCGATCCACCCACCTCAGCCTCCCAAAGTGCTGGGATTACAGGCGTGAGCCACCGCGCCCGGCCAGCTATGCGTTCTTAACACGATAGCCCTGTGTTCTGCATTTCCAAGCTCATAAGTTTTTAAATTTTAAAAATTATTTTTATATTGTTTTTAAAATTAACAAATGAGGCTGGATGTGGTGGCTCAATCCTGTAATCCCAGCACTTTGGGAGGCTGAGGCAGGTGGATCACCTGAGGTCAGGAGATTGAGACCGGGCTGACCAACATGGTGAAACCCCATCTCTACTTAAAATACAAAAATTAGCCAGACGTGATGGCACACACCTGTAATCCCAGCTACTCGGGAGGCTGAGACAGGAGAATCGTTTGAACCTGGGAGGTGGAGGTTGTTGTGAGCTGAGATCGCAGCACTGTACTCCAGCCTGGGTGACACAGCAAGACTCCATCTCAAAAAAATAAAATAAAAATAAAAAATAAAATTAACAAATGAAACATTGTTTATATTTATGGTATACCTGATGTTTTGGGACATATATACTGTGTTAAATGATTAAATCAAGGTAGTTAACCTAAAGGTACATCTTAAGTAAGCTTAAGATACATCCTGATGTTTTACTTAGAAAATATGGACCTCAATGTTACAAGTCTATTTACCTATGTAAGTCTAGGTCTTCTCATCTGAAGATGAGGAATTTAAATGAGTTCTCTGAAGACCCTTCGAAAACAAAGGACTAATAGAATCTAGAAGTGCCCCTTACATTAGACCATCTGAAAAGAAAGGAATGACCCATCCCACAATCTGCATTCTCAATGTCTGTTGGGAGGCAGGGAATGGGCCATTGAAGGCTGCTATTTGTTGAGTGCCTGTGGATGGATGTGGCCCTAGACACTTTATGCATGTTATCTCCCTACATCCTCAGAACAACAGCGTAATCGTACATACATGAGGTACATGTGATTATCTTCATTTTCCAAATGAGTGAAGTGAGACTCAGAGAAATGAAGGAGGCAGCTTAAGCTCAGAGGGCTGGTGAAAGGCTCTGTCCTGTCACGCAGCTGCATTGTCATTGTCATCTCCCCGATGTCCGCTGCCAACCCTTAACTAGGACACCTGAAAAGTGAGAAATATTTTCCTGGAATGTGTCGTTGGAAGCTCTGTTCCACTGAGGCCCTAAGGATCTTGGGAGAAAACATCAATGTCTGATTTCTTTTAAAGCCATGTGGGCATACTGGCCAGTATGATGAGCAAGCTGGAAGTGTATGCCAATCACCTGGAGGAACTGGTGCAAGAGAGGACCAGCCGGCTGACTGCAGAGAAGAGGAAGGTGGAGAAGCTTCTGTGCACTATGGTGCCCAGGTATTCGGAAGCAGTGGGGACTTGATGAAGCTGCAGCATCACCATCTAGCAGCCCCACATAGGCGGGATAACTTCCATGATTACATTTCTAAGAGGATGTCAAGCTCTTCTAAAAAGGGTCAGGCATTTTTTGTGCAGTTTGGTACACCTGTAAAGGGAGATAGAAGCAAACTCTTCTGAATCCATAGGAATAGAGGCTGCAGTCCGTCTTTTATGTGGAGGATGGCGGATGCAGCAACAGGAGAGTAGCCACTAGATGGCGCCCTCGTTTCATGAGTCTGACTAATTGCTACCTCCCCTGTATTTGATTGTCGGTCCAAAACCTCTGCACAGTTTAATATGTACCTGTGGCTTCACATTCAAATATTGCTCCATTTTTGGTTCTGTTTCTACATGTTCACTCTCTTAACACTTGGCAGAAGTATTTGCTGTTAAAATTCCTGTGCACTTCTTGCATGTCTAGACCAAAGAAGTGGGGGCAGGGATTTTTAGTGAGATTGGTTGACTGAAATGAAATTGATTTGTGGATTGGTGAATGGTTATATTCGCTTCCACAACTGCAGAGTCTTTACACTCTAACTCTATAACCAATATACATCAAGAAAATCCTTTTTGTAAGGGCATTATGTGACCCTCTCTCCTACCCCGCCCCCACCATTTATACCCGTCAATTAAAATATCTCTTTGGAGAGAATGCAAGTGGAGAAGTGGATGTTGAAAGAATTCCTCTAGATAATGAATTTTGTTAACCAAAAGCTTAGCCGTTGAAGCAAAAGGACCAATGAGAACAACTTCGTGGGAGTCTGTAGAAGATGAGATGAATAAGATCCATTCAAAAATGCTCCCTTTCTCTGGTTTCAGCTTCACTGGAGAACAACTCCTAGCTGGAAGGTCCGTGGAACCAGAACATTTCGAGTCTGTGACAATCTTTTTCTCTGACATTGTTGGATTCACAAAGCTATGTTCTCTCAGCTCCCCCTTGCAAGTCATCAAGCTCCTCAATGACCTGTACAGTTTATTCGATCACATCATCACAAATTACCGTGAGTATAAGGTGAGACATCTCATCCTGGCTGTGAGGTCATGCGTGCTCCTTGAGGGCTGTCTCTGGGGCCTGACGAAGGATGGAACTGATTCCAGACATCAGCCAGGAGGAAACTCCATTTCAGTCTATGTCACTTCATGGCAGAAACTCAATATTTTATTTGTTTGTTTTGTTGGAAGAGGTCTTGATTAGTCACAGATGTATGTGCTTGTCAAAAATCACCAGTTTCTTCTGTTTTTCCTCTGTTTCCTTCCATTATTTCATCTCACAGTAAACACTTTTTAAAAAGAGGCATTGAACTTCCGCTGACTAATTCCTTCCCGTCTTTCCTAAATACATTTCCTTCCCAGGCAGAGAGGCTCCTGTTTACTCTCCTTCAAAGATTGTCCTTGGATCTTGTGTGGGTCTCACCTCTGTTGTCCTGATCCTTAGCAATTCAGAGTGAAGAAAGACTCCCAATTTTAGACTATCAGACTCATGGCTAAAAGGGGGGCAGCAACAATTACCTGCTGGGTGCTACTCTGGGAGACAGAAGGACATGGTCACCTAGAGTGAAAACCATTTTTGATGGGGAAAACAGAGACGTTCTGGCTCTTCATGACTGCCGGGTGGTGGTGGTGATGAGGGCTGCTTTCTGTGTGTTCTGACTCTTTAGAAGGGGTCAGATCATGACTCCAGGCACAGTACCATGTGCCTGTGCTCATATATGCCTGGTGGGCAGCCACAAGTACACCAGCTCTGACCACAATCCCAGGGCCCTGCCTCTGCCTGTGGACCTGGGGACAGCGAGATTTGGAGGACAGTGTGGTCATATGGTCACATATCTCAGTGACAGAGTGACACGTCTTCAATGTTGATCTCCCAGTGTTCCCCACAAATGACGCCTCTGTTCAACGGTGAAAGAAAGGATAGTAGAGATAACCTTGAAGAGCAGACCACACACACCCAACAAAATCAGAGCCCTCCCTGCTCAGGAGGACGTCTTCTGGGATTTTCCTCTTAGTATTACCTGCTCAGTTGTGTTTTGCTTGAGCTCATTTTAAAACTTAGTTTGTATTTCTAAAGGATGTTATCACGGTGGGGAGAGGAAACCCAGAAGCAGGTGAGGCTTGTTGACGGGTTGACTTCGCATCATTTCGGGGTCACCAGAACAGAGGTGTTCTTACCGTCTGGCTGATGCCTGCAATTCAGCCTTCACCACATCATCTTTGGACTCTGCTAAAATGCAAATGTGTCTGGAAAGGGCTGTAACTACTTGTCATTTATTTCTCTATTGTGAATGACAGATCTGAAAGCTGATTTTATTAGGAGGATAGAGGGGGAAGAGGACAGACAGGCAGATACATACTATATACATGAATACATTTTGTATAATGTATAATGCGTACCCATTTATAAATGTGTCTAAGAGCCCTTGTGTGGGGCGTGGACATTTCGGGTTGGGGGAGATGGTCTCTGCTTGACCGATCCACCTCACCCTTCCAGGTTGACTCCAGGAGCACACTGCTGCCTGTCTCACTGGTTCTGAATTTGGGCTGGGGAAATAGAGTCACTGCTGCTATTGGATTTCAGAGGAGGAAACAGTAAATGTGGGGAGGGAGGCTGGGAGAAGGAGGGTGAAGTGGGCTTTGTGGAAGAGCCATTACAAGGGCAGGAACTGAAGAAATGCTGGAACTTGCATGGGGCGGAGGTCAGGGAGTGTGACACATCCAAAAACAGGGCCTCGAGGCTGGGGACGAATGAGGGGCCTTAATCTCTGACCCACCCCGACCCTTGGCCTCCCTCATGGGAAACAAAGGTCACTCTGTCGCTTTGTTTTCAGGTTGAGACCACTGGAGACGCATAGGTGGTGGCTAGCAGACTCCCTATCCGCAATGGAAGCCAGCATGTGGCTGAAATTGCCACCATGTCCCTGCACTTCTCAGTGCCACCATTCATTTGCTTCCAGACTGGGCAATTGCTCCAGGAGAAGCTCCAGCTTCGGATTGGCTTCCACACAGGTAGACAAAACTGATGGCCTGATGGTCCAGGGATGGCGGCAGGTCATTCTGGGTTCCATTCCTACATCCAAGGCTTTTAGGAACCGGACATTGAACGGTAACCTCTTTAGGGGAGATAAAAGATTGAATTGTCTCTGCATGTGTGTTTCTATTTAGCTAGGTTGCTTGGTAACAACAAGGACACACAGTGGCTTCAATGTATTCAACCAAAAATAAAGACTGGGCGCGGTGGCTCACATCTGTAGTCCTAGCAAATTGGAAGGCCGAGATGGATGGATTGCCTGAGCTCAGGAGTTTGAGACCAACCTTAGCAACATGGTGAAACCCTGTCTGTACTAAAATACAGAAAACCAGCCAGGTGTGGTGGCAGGCACCTGTAATCTCAGCTACTCAGGAGGCTGAGGCACAAGAATTGCTTGAACCTGGGAGGCGGAGGTTGCAGTGAGCTGACATTGTGCCACTGCACTCCAGCCTGGGCAACAAAGTGAAACTCTGTAAAAAAAAAGAAAAGAAGAAAAAAAGAGAGAGAAAAAAAAGGAAGAGACCAAACCCCAGGACGGGTTATATAGGGCTACTTTTCCTCCACGCCTCAACATCAAATGCCCTTTGATGTGGTCTGTGTTTGCCAACTCATGGGCATGTGATCTGTGCAGAAGTGGTCCATGCTTCATTTCATGCTCTTCTGTTACCGTCTGGCAATTCTTAATCATCTTTGCACAAAGTATCCTGTGTTTTCACTCTGCACCTATTCCAGCAAATTTTGTAGCCAGTTATGCTACCACCTATCTTCCAGGGCTCAACAAAAACAAAACTCCATCCTCAGAATGAATTGCTCCCATGTTTGTGCCACTGTTGGCATTGTTCACAGCTCTAGTTCATGAGTGACACGGTCATTTAATGACCATGATGATGTCGCTTTCCAGCAGGGGTTTGGGTTCTGTCGGTTTCCTTTCTGTAAACCCTAAAATCTATTGCCAAACTTTGCCCCAAGAGGGCGCATCACTACATTTGTTGATTTGATGCGCATCGTAGAGTCCAGCCTCGGGCAACGCAGAGCAGTTATGGTCTTTGGTTCTCCACTCTTCAGGTCCTGTGGTGGCTGGTGTGGTGGGAATTACTATGCCCAGATACTGTCTATTTGGAGACACTGTGAACATGGCATCCAGAATGGAGAGCAGCAGTTTGCGTGGGTATCACTGATGACACTTTGTAAACACAATATTGTTATCCCTCCAGGCCCCTAGCTTTAACCAGGGGATACTTTTAGAAGAGGCATTTGCTTTTTGCCTACTGTTTTCCTTCTGGAGGATAAGATCATTATCCACTTCAGGCAACACTGATCACACACTTTATAGACAGGGTTTTGCACTGTGCTCTCGTTAGAACCATGCAAATACACATACCCTCCTTTCTTCTGTGACTTTCCATTCTAAGCAATCACACATGCATATAATAAAATCACTTAAATGAAGAGCAGGAGTTGGAAAACTTTTTCTTTCTTTCTTTTTTTTTTGAGATGGAGTCTTACTGTGTCACCCAGGCTGGAGTGCAGTCGTGTGATCTTAGTTCATTGTGACCTCTGCCTCCTGGGTTCAAGGGATTCTCCTGTCTCAGCCTCCCAAGTTGCTGGGATTACAGGCATGTGCCACCACACCCGGCTTTTTTTTTTTTTTTTTTTTGGATTTTTAGTAGAGACTGAGTTTCACCATGTTGGTCAGGCTGGTCTTGAACTCCTGACCTCAAGCGATCCACCCACTTCAGCCTCCCAAAGTGCTGGGATTAGCTGGCATCAGCCACTGCATCTGGCCTGGAAAACCTTTTCTATACAGGGCCAGACAGTAAATATTTCAGGCTTCAGGGGCCATAGAGTCTTTGTTGTTACTACTTAACTGCTGTTGTAGCTCAAAAGCAGCAATAGACAATATGTCAATCAACAGGCATGGCCATGTTCCAATAAAACTTTATTTGCAACCACAAGTAGTGGGCTGAATTTGGCCCATAGGTGATAATCTGCCCTTCTCCAAGGTAGAGTATATTTTTGGTGGTACAGAAGAAATCTATAGCCAGGACCTCCAGGGAATGTTACATCCTTTTGCTTTATAGTAATTTTATTGCATTGACCATTGCCAGGCACTTGTATGCTGTTTATCAGTTGGGACATGTAAAAAAGAATTACTCAGTGATGTAAGTTTCAAAAAGGTTTAGGTGATTAACATTGCTTTGTTTTAAATTTGTAAATTTTCCACAGGGCAAAGGAGAGCAAACAACTTTCTGGTTGAAAGGTAAAGAAGGCTTCACTCTTCCACTCCCCGAATTTACTCAGGAAAAAGCCAAAGTCCCAGAGATATTGTGAGGTGAGTGTTTTCTTTCAAGATGTTTGTGAATTTGTGGAGTCATGTGAAAGTCTTTGGGAACCCTTCTTTGAGACCCAGTCAATATCCCATTTAAGAGGTGTGTTTCCGGGGCATTGGTCCCGTCTCCCACTAGGGGGAGCCTTCTAGCTGGCCTCTTCCAATCCCGGTGTTTGCTCCCAGCCTGTGCCTCCAGCAAATGTAGGCTTGGAGGAGCTGAAGATGGTGAACTCATTTCATGGGGTGCCAGGGCTGGCCTGTGGCTCTCAGCCCTGTGCAACTGCCCTAGCTGCCAGATATTTACAGCCCATTAACTTGAGAATTTGCAGTGAACCCAGTTTCATTCTGTAGGAGGGGGAAGTGGAGAGGATGAAGCCTGTCTTTCCTGTGCAAGGTGCCTGCTCTCTAACCTTTGGTGCTGATTTTCCTTATCAGTTAATCAGCTTGCAAGGAGATAGGAGCCCATATCTGACAGCATCTTGAGAATGTGTTCAGGAAAAAAAGCTCTAAGGCATGAGCAGCCCCTGAAATCCAACAGGGCCGAGACTATTTCAAGCAGCCAGGCCCTCTGCAGTTATTGAAAAGCCTGGTTCTGAACCCTGAGTTACTGTGAGAGGGGCAGCTCCCAAATGCATAATGCCCTCTTCCCAATGTATTGCCTAATTCCTTTCCTACTCACAGAGCAAAAACTTCTGCAGTCAAGGCTTGAATTTTAAGAAGAATTTCTCAGTCATTTATGGAGACTTTAATTTAAAAAAATTTCCAGTAGACAAAGACGAACCCATCGATTCCTGCTACGATAGTTTTCCCTTCTACATAATGAATAGGATTCCATGTTGTTTTATTGAGCAGATCTTTTAATAGATTTGCTGAACCACTAATGCATTTATAGTACTTCTTTCTTCATCTCTTGCAACTCCTCACATCCAGATATCTTTCGTGTGGTTGCTCCTGAATCTGGCAGAGCAATTTGAATGAAATATTGTCTTTGAGACCTTTTCCTGTTGAACTTCCCATGATTGAAGGAGCGAAAATCAATGAGACCAGAAATAGTTTCTTTCTTGCTGCGTCTTTGAGCTGCCTTTGCTGAGATACTTTTGAGACCTGTATGGGAAATAAACTACTTTTTGATTTATTGAAGCTTTTGACACCAAATTATATCAAAGATTTGGTGGAATTCTTGCCTTTCTTTAGGAAGAGGAACACAAAAGCACTCTCACTTCCCAATTAATCCAGTCTTCATTGAGCTCCTAAGCATTTCCATTAGCAGTATTTTGCTTCTGCCCAGAGAGGGAAGACTGAATTCTACATCCATCACAGGCTCCGTTTTCTATATGAAAATTTTGTTTTCATTGTGGTAGGCTTCACTCCTCCCCAGAGGCCTTCAGCACTGGGGACTGAAGGCTTTAGACTGATACTTAAAGGGAGAGAAGGCAGAAGGTATTTATGTGGAGAGAAGAGGAAGACTTTCTCCTGCTACTTTAGCATGGAGACAGTAGGCCAAATTTATCTTCTCATTCCCCGTAACTCCTTTTCTTGAGATAATGGCTCTGGATCCCAAACACCTTGCTCAACCATGAAAGGAAACAAGGCCACCTCTACTATGAGGCCTCCTAGAGAGCTAGGATAGTCCTCATCCATCCATCCATCCATCCACTTATCCATCTATCCATCCATCTGTCCATTCACCCATCCACTCGTCCACCTATTCATGTGAACATTCTTTAATCCAAGGAGCATTTATTAAGCACTTACTCTGTGCCATTCTGGGGTACACAAGAGAATATAAACTTTCTCTTGATCTTTAGCTTGCAGTCTAGTTAGGGAGAAGAAAGCATAATTGCATGTCATAAAGCAATATTAAGGACTAATAGAGCTATACACAAAAGCGTAGCAGTAACTAAGCAATCCATCACTGTGACATTAAAAGAATATTAGAAAATAATATGCAGATGAAGGAATGGGGCCAGGTAAGGCAGTTGCCTATTATTATCATGTCTTTGTATTGTGTGTGTGTGTCTTTTTTTCTTCCAGCCCTAGCCCATATGCTTACATAAGTTATGTTCATGTAATATAGAGTTAGTTCTGCCTTTCTTATTGAACATCATAACATAAACATTTGGCATCTAGACACTCATACACACAAAAACACACATGTGTGCACACACAGACATCCATATGCACACACATGCACATATATATATGCACACCGTCATATATATACACACACATGCATACATACACACACATACGTACATGGAGAAGGAGAAAGCGAGAGTGTCTTTATGGATCACAACTAAGAATTTTGATAAGAACACTCTTCTAAATCTATATTCAGTATTTTTTCTATGTCAGCTAAGGATACCTAGGGGAGAATTACTTTTCTTCTTTTTCTTAATATTTCTATTGTGTTTAGAACTAATGAGAATTTACAAGAGATTGTTTTGAGAGTACTTTATCTTATTTTCTCAAAGGAGAAGTTATGAGAGAAGAAGGGTAATCAAACATCATGAGGCTGTTAGTTAATGTCAAGTCAAAACACATCCAGTTGCTGGTGAGAGACATTCGGGCTTTATAGGCAGGGATGACCCAAAGACCTTTTCCCCAAAATGTTAATCAATGTCTTAACCATTCTGGCTAACACGGTGAAACCCTGTCTCTACTAAAAATACAAAAAATCAGCTGGGCGTGGTGGCGGGCGCCTGTAGTCCCAGCTACTCCGGAAGCTGAGGCAGGAGAATGGCGTGAACCCGGGAGATGGAGCTTGCAGTGAGCTGAGATCATGCCACTGCACTCCAGCCTGGGTGACAGAGCTAGGCTCCATCTCAAAAAAAAAAAAGTCTGTGGCATACATGCGAGTCTAAGAAGTTGTAGTTGTAGAAACCCCTGGGAGATTTGGGGAATTAGCTATCAACATGATATATTAACACTGTAAACTGTAGTCATAGGTTATTTATTTTAAGGCATTTTATTTATTCCATAGCACCAGGTAGAGATACAAGATCATAAAACACAATGATGAAATACAGCAAAACTAATAGAACATTGGTTTATTCTGACAGCAAAGGATTTGAACATGACTATGAGTATGCTATTTAAGAGTTTTCTACTAGAACCAATAAAATGTGTCTTCTGTTTTTCCTGACTACAAAAAATCTGAATTTACAGAAAGAAGAGATCCTAAACTCGTTGCAACTCCAGCTTAGGGAGCAAATCTAGACTAGATTGAGTCATTTTACTCTAGCCTATTACTCAACAAACATATACTTCATGTATCTGGATATTTCATAACTAGTTTAATTTCTGAGTTCGCTAACACAAGTTGTAAAAGAATCATCAAACCGCAGATTGCAAAACTTCTCAAATACATTAAATACAGAGAGACAAATGCATGTGTTGTTTTCAAATTATAAGCCTCCTAATTAAGTCTTTACATAACTAAGAACTTAGAACTCTGCCTTTTCCTATCACAGTCCAGCCAATTCTCTACCAGAATTTCAGTTTGTATTTTGTTGACAATGTAAATCATTTTTATGGGCATATTCTGGATCACTGGGGTGGCCAGTTACCAAGATGTGCTACTGCATAATTTCATTGGCCACATTTGCATTTGTGTTTCTGATTTTGTGTTAGCTTCATTCTAATCATCGTAAGTGAATGAGACAAAACCAGATGTAAGCTTCGATGTTTAAGTGAAAGCTAAATGAGATCAGTCCATTTCTTACAAATGAAAACTTTTTAGTAGAGCAAATAGAGAAAAATAGCATTGAGTGTCACAAGGCATTTATTTGTAGGATTGAGTCACCAAACTCACAACACCTGTGTCGTTGGAGTCACTTTATAGTCATGTTTCCAGCAGCAGTTTCACTGGGGCAATGCCATGTTATTAGGTTAAATTAATGTGAGTTGTATTCTTCTTGTGGTTATTCTTTTTGCAAATATTCCTATTTAATTTGTAATTTTATTTTGACTTTAGAAGTATACATCTGCTATAAAAACACAGAGTTTATACCTGTATCATGTTTATATATTTAACAAATGGTATAATACATACAAATTAGGTCAGTACTAGGCATTTTCAAGAATCCATTTCCTTTATATCATTAGGTTTGAGCGAAACTATTGTATTCCACTCTGATTCCCACATCATCTCCCACGTCATCAGTTGAAAGGTTGGAACCCCCTGCCTGGGAGCTCAGCTCTGGTCCTTAGGTAGAATGATACTGCCTCAATGACAAAGCCCCTTTTCGGCAAAGTCAGCTATTAATGTGTGTTCTGTATTTAGCACTGACTTTGTAGTTGCACCCTATATTCTCTTCAAAATGCTCAGTGGTACTTGGTTGGGTATGCTAACCTTTTAAAGTTAAAATAGCTTTCAAAGGAATTCACTGCAGCCCTGACTTGAGTATGGAGAAAGGAGACTTCTCCTGCAGCTTTAGAAGGACTGTGAGATCTAAGGGAATAATCTAAGTTTTTAGGAAGTAATCTAGCTTTTTCTTAGAAAGAAAAAAGCATCACCGAATTCACAGAAATGATTGGAGCGCATATTTGGCAAAGTGTTATTCTCTGCTCCCCAACAATGTGGTCTTCTGTTTGTTCTTTTCGGCAGCACAATAAATGTGTTTGTCATTTGCTGAGGATGATTGTGGGTGGAGGAGCAGCAGCTGCCTGGCTAACTCCTACAACATGGCACAAATCCCCAACATCATGATGAGGTGGTGGAGAACATCTGTGGACCAGAAGGGGAGGGAGATGGCACTCAGAGACAGTTCTGAAAGGGTTAACAAAAGAATTAACAAGAGTCAACTCAGGGATCTTCCTAAAATTCCATACATTTTAGACAAAGTCGATTTTGTTCATCTCTTGGGGATTCTGTAGCTCACATTTATCAGTTCAAAGAACCTGACAGATAAACCTAGGTTGTGGACCTCTGAC